TTCCAACAACAGTTGATTATCCTAATCCAGCTCTTGTTGTTTAATCAACAGCCTCATAAGTGAGAGTACCAGATCTAGAGACAATACCAATTTTTCCATTTTAATGAATGTATCCAGGCATGATACCAATTTTGCATTCATTTGGTTTAATGATTCCTGGACAATTAGGCTAAATTATAAACAATATGAACATACACCAATGACACGAGTGACTGATTAAGATCTCAATGCATGCTTCACTTTAATCATATCATGTTATGGGATTCCATCTGTAATAACAACCTTTTACATACAAATAGTAAAATTACCACCAAACCAATTTAGGCTTCAATAGCTTCAATGATAGCTGAAGCAGCTGTAGGAGGAGGAACATAAATAACTGAGGCATCACATCCTGTGTTTTGTTTGGCTTCTTGACAATTCTTGAATACAGGTAATCCTAGATGAGTGCTTCCAGCCTCTATTTTATTGTTTCAATTCTTACTCTTAGGTGACACTCCACCAACCATCTTTGTGAAATAGTTTAATGCTTATTCTGTTTAGAAGGTACCCTATTATTATTTAATATCAAGCAATACCTAATTACCAGTGATACCTTAACAGATCACCTTCGTATGTTTGTTAACCCACACATAAGGAGCTGTGGTCGATGAAAATGCACGAAAGATTTATTTGCCAATCATTTATTTTATTTAATCAATATTTATTAAACTTATATTACTCCCTTTCTCTAACTAAGCAGTATCCTTCTCATTCTTTTCAATACTCTTAATTCAATTTATTTCAATCGTAATTCTAAAACATCATTGATTCACCTCTTGAATACCAAATTTTATCTAATTATTAAATGAGATAATATTAATCATAACCATAAAAGTCTCCTTCAAACAGAGAAAAGAGCAACACTGTGTTTACTCAAATGGATTCAGTTGAAAATTGTTACTCAAATGAAAATAATTAACATGATCAATATTTCAATCAGATCATCTAAATGCTCTAAAAAAGACAGGAGTTTTAAGAATAAGAATACAGAATTAAAGTAGCCTCTTTAGAAAAGAGAATTAAATACTTAATTTAAATCAGTTCCTAACTAACACAATAAAATACTCAACTAAAATTATAATATGCGGATTTAGTCAAAGAATATGACATTATGAAAGACAGAATTATGAATTATGAAGCCAATATGAAAACTAAAAATTCAGAATATTCAATAAGTTTAGATGAAGTAACTAAATTAAAAACTGAAAGAGAAAAACTCTTAGGATTAGCTAATAAGTATCATGAAAGATCAAAAATTAGAAAGAAGCAAAGTATTGAATAGGAAAACGCCATCACCATTTTACAAAAATAAGTTAATGATTTACAAAAGGATAACCTGATTTTGGTGTCTGAAAAATAAAATTTATTATTGCAAAGTTAATATAACCATTAATTTGCTAATTAATAATAAAATATATTGCAGATAGGAAATTGTAGGAAAGTAATAGCAACACATTGATCTATCAAATAAAAATGAGATACAATAGATTATCAAACGATTCTTGAATGATTACTGCATTCATCTCACATATATCAATAATGAGACTAATCAATTGATTGTTCTACTGAAAGAATATCATGACATCAATCTAGATCTTAATAATTAATCTAAATATAATAAGCTTGTAAAACAATTTGATTCGTTAATTCATAAATATAATCAGATGTTAGAGCAACATATCAAATTTCAATACTAATTTAATATTTCTACATAAGACACTTTATTATTAAACAATAATAATAACAATAATAATTAAAATTAATATTTTTACAATAATAATAATAATGCAAATAATACTATTTTAAGTAGCAAAGTAAACAGCTATAATAATTTTTATCAAAGCAATGCTAAATAAGATATACTTAGAACCAGCAAGTTTATTAAAATCTAATCGATTAATATGTTCCTAACATAAATTGTTGAATCGTTTATTATCTATATTTTTAGAGTTAGAAATCTAAATCATCAAATTCTCTAATCAGACCCAACTCATAATGAATAAAAAACCATTCTAAAGAAAACCATAATCATGATTATTGCAATAATAAGAATGCAAAGGAAAAAAAAATATCATGATTATAAACCAATGGTTATAGAATTACCTATTGAGGAGACTATGTATTAATTACTAGAAATAATAAGTACTTAATAACAGTTAATAGAGAAATTTTAGGAGTGATTTATATTTCATCGTAATTATTCACTAATCTTTAATAGTAACATATCAATATTTTTATGCAATCTCTAAACTATTTGATTCATTTGGCAGTTCAATTATATAGTATATTTTTCTTATGGGGATTGGGTTTGTACCAATTCAGCTAGAATTTTAAATTTATGTTCAATCTTCTTAATTTCACTTAAATATTTCCTTTTGGTTCCTGCCAATTAATAATTGAGTGATTTAGCCTTTTCTGAATCACAATTAATCAATTCTTCAAGAAACCTTTGAGTATTTTGATTTTCATATAAATCAAGTTCTTCAATAAAAGTTTCTAATTCTAATAAATTTATAAATAGTAGCTTATTATTGTCAAGATTAATATTCTAAGATTTAATTTTATTAGTAATCTTTTACTTCACTTAACTGTTAATTACATAATCTAAATCGCATCGCAATCCATTCATTTCCTAGGCTTAATAAAGCAAATACTTTATAAATATTTTTATATTCTTATTGCACCTCTAATTTAACAGAGTTCATGTTCTTTTTAAAGGTGTTTTCAATTTAAAGAATTTCAGGACGTCTAGGTTATGTTTTAGAATTCAAAATCTAATTGTCCATCTCAATCATTCTTGATTCGAGTTATTTAATTTGATATGATAATTAAGAATTATTTTGTTTACTAGATTTATGCTTCCCACAATTTTCATAATCATCTATTCTGTTTTATAAAAGGTGAATTTATTCTTCGATTTTGTGAACCTCTTCAAATAGTTTAATCTATTTCATTAATCCATCCTACTCATTAATGATTTTATTGATATTATCTATGTTAAAAATACATGTTACTCTCTAAAGTTGTTATTTTTGAATTAGCCTCCGTTTCCTAATTTAACTTTGCATCACTTACAAATTGCATTAAAGAAGAAAAAATTTAACGTATATTAATTATCAATTTAGTAAATTTAGATGAGCTAGTCAAATAAAGGGTAATTTCAAACTAATAAATCAATTCGTAAAAGATTATGTTTGAGAATTCGACAAAACTAAGGCTTTCAATAAACTATTCTACAGATCAGATGATAAAAAACAATTTTATTATTCAGAATTACAAACCAAGAATTCATAGAATGAGAAGGATGGTAAATTTTGAATTAAATAGGATACTTTTTTTAATGTGTATTGGGGATCAACCTACAACATTGTGTAGAGTTTATATTAATTGATTTTCATCAACTTTTAGGATGAAGGTCACTTGATCTAGTTTATTATTAATGATGCTTAATACTTGCTTGTGGGTCTTTGTCTAACCATTTGACTGAGACCATTCCTCTTCCTTCTCCTTCTAAAATAACATTACAAGGTCTTTCAACGAATTCAGTGATGATATCTGGCATAGTGGCTGCAAGAATGCATAATGGATCTTGGATATCGTATCTATTATTGGCAGTTTTCATTCCTTCATAAATTTCTTTGACAAATTTGCCTTTAATAGTTGTATCCTATTCAAAAACTTTAGTTATCTGATTATATAGGACATGATTACTGTGAATTCTGAAACTGAGATAACGGCTTCATAAGGTATGACAATTAGCTTCTTAGCTAAAACCTTAAAGACAAGATGAGCAGCTTCTGGATCTGTGTGAACATTATATTCAGCTACTCCATCATTCATAAATCCCAATCCTAAAACATTTCCACATAAGCCAATGACCAGACCAATATTCTCTTCAAATTCTGCTGTCTTCATCATTGCACATGCTACATTTGTCAATGCCCCTAGACAAATGATTACCAAATCTTCTTTGTATTTTAGAGCACTTTCTATCAAAAAATCAACAGCATGTTATTGTTAGAGTTGATATTACTATATATTGAGTTCCTTTAGATATTTTTCTTAATGTCCGCTTAATCCATCATCACCAAAGAATTTTGAGCTTAAAGTTATCTTTTATTTTAAATTTCTATCACATCCTTTATAAATTGGTATATTCACTCCAGCAATTTTTTAGACAATTGTAATATTCTTGATTCCATCTTCTATTTAAGAGTTTCCACTATTATATCAGAGGGAGAGAATACTTAATGCAAGTGATACCTATTATTTCTATATTTTTCTTGGCTGCCAAATCAAATGCTGTCAATAAAGCATGTATATCATCACCTCCAGAATCAGTGTCTATTATCATTTTCGTTCGTTGCTTCAAGAGCTTTTGAGGAACGCCAAATTGATGTTTGATGAATGAAGGAAGCGAAATCATTTATAAATATTATTTATAATACTAATTTAATTTGCCTTTGGAGTGAAGATTTTTGTTATCAAATTTTAATTTTTCCTCTTCACTCTGTCCACACTCGATTTTGGTCTTAATAGAGTCTTCTTCATTACAACTATATCATTTATTCTATCTTTCTCTAATATTATTGGCTTAATGAAATCCATTACAAAATTAATTTTATCTTCAATGACTAATTTAGGTTTATGAAAGGATTGTTTTAAAGAGATACTTTTCACTTTCAATTAGTTTTCATTACTGCTAAATAGAATTCTTCTTACTTTTTTACCCCGATATTACGAATTAGTATTGCTAACATTTTAACATGAACGTAGATGTTATAAATCAAGATCTTATCCAGATATTATCCAAGTCAATTGTTTTAATTAATCCCAAACCAAAATGTGAATATATTCAAAATAGCAACCTGCACACCATTTCTTAGTTTCGCATTTCCAAATATTTAACAAAAAGTTTTTAAAATTTTATTATACCTCCTTATTTGATTACATTCCTTATATCAAACAAATGTAAATACATTATTGACTCTATTTTGGAGTTATGTATAGTAATTTAGTTTATTTTAATTGCTAATCGCTTTTGAAACATAACTATCCTTTTGTTGTAATGTAACCGCTCTCCATTTCTGCAATCATAGTTTTAATGTCCAAAAATGTTAAAGTGATTTCACTTTCTGCCTGTTGTAATAACTTTATTTCTTTTGGAGATTAAGTAAAATAGAAATCCCTTTACCCTAAAATAGACCATAAGTCAACACTCCCAAAGATTGGTAAAAATTCATCTTCAGTAGTACAAGTACCATGTTCAGTTTTTAGTATTGTTCCTTCTGTTTTACACCTCACTTCAGAACGTGATTTCAAATTGATTCTGCATATATCTAATGCTGTTGTGAACTATGTATGAATTCGTCTACTGTGAATAGCAGAAGGTAAACGAAGGTCTAATTATTTCATTAAATTTAAAAAATAAAATAAAATTTCTTGTTTAGAAAAGCATCATTTTATAACTACATTCAATAGATTTTAATTCTACAGTATTATTAAATAAAGGAAGATTGGACAAATACTTTAGTATATTTATTAATATAATTCTAACTTTTATTCTATCTATCTATCTCTTTCTTCTAATAATAGATATAGATATATCTATTTACAAATCGATATTTCATATTATGATCTATAAAAGTATGATACAAATTTGATAAAATTAGGTAACTTAATATAAGTATTAAATTTTACCAAGAAAATCAAATATTTACTTTAGATATTATAAATCAAAAATGGAATTAAAAATTATATTTGAGTATTAATGATATTGAAATGATCATGCATTCTCTTTGAATTAATTTGAGTATGACAATTTTACTATTAGAGCAACAGTTCTGAAATAATAAAAATTCATGTTAAATTGCTACTTGTTTTAATATAATGAAAGCGCCTATCATTTTGTAAAATCAAATGTCTTTAACTGCAACAAAAAAGTGAAGTTGATTTTTCAATTATATTAATTAGTAATTAATTAATTTAACCAAATGGAGAAATTTAGAGCATATGCTGATCCTCATACCGGAATTAATTTATTTGTACCTGCCTTTGTTAATTAAAAGTTATCCCCACTCATTCTGCTAATTCATATTGTAATTATTTTATCATTATAGTAAATAGATCTTAGGATCTTTATTGGTTTTGATTAGAATTCCTTTATTGGTTATTCTGATTTCATTATTGACAATTTTGAATACTCTGAAAATAGGCACTCTAAATTCATTAATTGGTAAATTGATGTTGCTTACTTGTGGATTTTATAATGTTGAAAATTAGATTCCAATTCAAGATAAAGGTGGATAACTCATATTGGCAAACCATTCTAGTCCAATTGATTGGATTTATTTCTTAGCTTAATCATCGCCAAACTTCGCAACTTTCGTAGAATGTGGTGAAGAAATTAGATATTAAATTCTGTCCTTAAATTAAGTGATTAAGAATTTGTTTTCAATTACTATAGCATAAACTGGAACTGGATCACAATTAAACGAAGTTATACTTTAAAATAAGCCAACCTTGCTGTTTTTTGAGGTATTTCATTTTATATATATTTAACTAGGGTTGTTAAACAAATTAATTAGGAGTATTGTCACCACCTAAATAAATGATTTCTGAATTACAAAACCTTGGATTACCTATTGTAATTATTAATATAACAATAGAACATTTATATATTAACATATCCTGACAGATCTATATTTACTCCTATCAATACTACAAGGAATGGACTTTGGCACTTTATACTGTTGTTAACAAATGTTTGGAATAATTTAAAGGTTGTCAGCCAAGAATTTTAAAGCTCCAAAGACTATTAGAAGCTCATAACTAATATTTATGAGTGTGAAGGATTTAAAATAGTATTTTATCATTTTAACTCTTAGATCAATTAAAAATACTCTGTATAAACAGAATTTTTAAGCTATTTTTGGAGAACTTCGAAAGGAAATTATGTTAAATAAGATTGAATATTCTATTTATGTTTTGCAAAAATTAATAAATATCTAATTCTACTATTAATATTGAAGAAGAAAATAGAATTTAAGATTTTAATTATTAAATTTGTTAAAATAGAGTCATTCCACTCATTTTCTAATTGATAGCAAACTTCTCTTAAATAAAATATTTCATCAGAGAATAAAAATTTACTGAAAGGTATTCTAGGAAAATAAAAAATAAAGTTCATAAGGGTGGTTAATATTTTGTGTATTATTTATTCAATTGTATTTGTAAATATATTTTAAATAAAATCTAATTTATTAACCATCAATTAATTATGATTTATTAGATTATTAGGGAAATAATTTCAATGGTGTTTTATATGAAATTCATTAATTTAATAAATAATAAGTGATTTAAAAAATATAACAAATCATGAAGCAATGTTATTAGAAAGTGGAAATGAATATATTTGTATTTATTATTATTTAAATTTGATTAAAAATTAATGAACAATCATTATGAACCATATGTTAGAAATAAACGAGATTTAAAAGTTCCATACATTTCATGCTAAGATTACACAAACTTAGAATAGGCAGCAAAATTGATACCTGCTTTGAAGTAAATAAATTAAAGTGACAGACATTTGGCAGATGCTGCGAATGCACATACATACATTCTTCGTAGTAACAATGATGATGATATTCATAAGGTAATGAGTATAAATATTAGAAAATAGTCTATAAAATATGGTATTTGGACATCAAGCAAAGAAAACAATGAGAAATTGAATGCAAAGTATTTGGAAGCACAACAAGAAGGAATTCCTGTTTATTTGTTTTTCAGTGTAGTTAGAAGTGGTCAATTTGTTGGAGTGGCCAAGTTGACATCTGGATATAAAGAAGAGAGTTTCTAATATTGGTGGGAGATAAAGAAATGGAAGGGACATTTCAACGTGTAATGGCTGTATGTAAAGGATGTGCCAAACAAACATTTTGAGCATCTGAGAAACAGGTTAGAATTTAATCATAACTGTGAATAGTGATAACGTAGAGGTGACTAGATCAAGAGATGGCGTATGTCTGAGTTGGGAAACTGGGAAGGAGATGATGAAAATATTTGAAAGAGTTTTCCGATAAAAAAAGCATTTTGAATGATTTCACAGTGATCGATGAGAGAGAATAAGCGTTGAGATAATACAAATATTAGATGCAACAATAACGCAATCAACAATAATACTATCCTTATTATCCAAATCAATATTATGATTACCAATAATAATACCAATAGTATCCTCAACAATATCAATAGTAATAATATCAAAATTATTATTGGTAACAACCCTAGAAGTGATTTTATATATCATAGATTGTTAAAGTTTCACCATACACATAAAACAATAAAATTTATATAAATAAAATGAAAATGGAGAGAAGTCTCTATCTAAATGGCAAACCATTGATAAATCCTCCATTGACAATTGAAGAACAATTGAATGAAAGACTCGATAGAACAGGATACAAAATTGATGATTTAAATAGATTGAATGAAAAACCAGTTTTACAAATAGTACTTATTCAATTTATGGACTAGATAGATCTTGATGGTCTAACATCCGGTTACTTGAACAACAATCCCGTATTCTAGATGTTGAAGCAGGAAATAATGAATTGGAATGAAAAGGTGACACTTCATAGAGCTGAACAGATCAAATTATCAGATCCATTAGTTTCTGACAATCTTTATAGATAACTCAAGAATTCTCTATTAGAAGTAGTGAGTACAAGGAACAAAATATAATAATAAGCTTTCTTAAATAAAGTATCTAACTGGTTCTTCTCTTAATTACCAAAATCTTAAACTGCGTCATTGAAACAATCTCTACTGGAGAAAAAGGACTCTGTAATTTATTTATCACTATTTAAGACTCTTCACTTTATTCCTAATACATACAGTGAAAATTTCTATGCCTCTGGAATTGAAGATTACACTCTTAAATTTCGATCAGTCCATCCAGAATTTGATCCTCCTGAAGATAGAGTTAAAACTTATCAAAGAAAAAACCTATTATCAGATACAAGTACTCGTCCTGGAACGACGCCAGGAGTCTTAGGAATTTCACAATTTACTAGACCTTAAACTTCTTAAACTACTTATAAAATGATTGATCAAATCGAAAAACTATAAAGACCCAAAACTAACTAATTACATACAATTCCAAAATAGTAATAATCTTGGATGTACGATCCCAATTTTCCAGTCTTCTAAACTAATGATGATTAACAATAACAGTCTACTAGAAGATAAATACAAAGGGAAGAGTCCCCTTTAAAAGCTGACAAACCAACTGATAGAGATAAATTAGAGTAAATTGAAGGCATTGAATAAGAACAAGAGGAGGATGAAGATTAATCCCCAGACAATTAGAAGAATCAAACAAAAATCTAGCATCTTAACAAGAAGTCTCACCAATAAAAAGGGGTAAAAAAGGAAGATCAGATAAATATATTAGTATTGCCCCTACAAATAAAACCTATAAAACAGATATTGAGACTTAAAATGCCTATTCAATTGGATAGTAGGGTAGATTAGGAGAATTTTAAGGTACATTTCACAATTATGATCCTACTCAAATCGAAGATAAAATGGTAGCGGCTAGGCTAAATTAATATTATACTGAATAAAGAATTAAAGAGGTCAAAGAATAAAGGGAAGATATTGAAATGGTTTAATCAATGAAAAACTGGGCAACTAATAAAAGTAGAGTTGATGAAATGGTACTACAATCTGAATATGTATATATAAATTATAATCTCTATTAGTTAACTGCCATGGGATCACAATATTCGAATGTTGGAATTAAAATTTCTGATTTATATGAATCTAAAAAAATGGATTTGGCAGAAGAAAAAGCTTATGCCAATTATCTTAAAAAATCCTCTTTGCCTAAAGCAAGAATGGTACAGAGTGCTGTTCCCATGGCAAAGGTAGTTCAAAACACTGTCATTCCAACTTAAGTGGAAGAAGAGGCGGAAGATTTTTAAAGCAAATAAGCAGATCTTGAAAAGTAAATTAATTCAAAAAGACTTCGCTTGTTGAAGATGTCAAGAGGATCTTGTCTACCAGGTGGACTTATGAATAATCCTAATGAAGAAACTATTTAAAGTAATAGGGTTATGTCTTCTAGTTGCTTTAAGAGTGCCTAACCTAGAAGACAATTTAGTTCAATTCTAAAAACACATAGTATTAAGTAGGAAATGGACTCTTAGGTAAAAATAATTCTATTAAATTTATTTAGATTGGAGAAATTAAACAATTAAAAAATAGATTAGCATCTGCTAATAAATTTGTCCCAATTAATATTCTTTAAAAATCTATAATGATACCTCAAGGACATGCAAATCCTTATAAAGTACCTCTACCAAAGCCAGGAATTCTCTTAGCGAACGTTCCAGTTGATTCAAAACAAAGAAAAGGTAAAAAAAAGAAGACATAAAAATGATTAAAATATAATTTGAATCTAAATAACTAATAAATATCTTACTTTGGTTGTTTAAAAACATACCTATTTATCTTCCAATATCATATTTTAGAGGTTTTTTTTAGAAATTTGAAATTTACATTTAAAAATAATTAAATTATTTTTATATCTAAAAAACATGTATTACTATCTTATATTAAATATAAAGTATATATTTAAATTTTCAAATAGCAAAATCATAAAATAAAACTAAGCATGAAATTTCATTTGTTCAAAAATAAATGAAGAGTATCAAAATCAGAAGTCTATCATTAGTGTAATTTATGGTTTCTAAATTTAATCATTATATCTTTGAATTAAATTCCTTTACTATTAAATATGCAAAGGAATAATTATTATTTCAGGATTTGTTCAGAGAATTGGTTTAATTCATATTTTCCAATAAGCTAAAAGAATAAATAATTTGTTTAAAAAATTTAATAAATAAAATATATAAAGAATTTTTATTTGTTACAATTATTTCAATATATTTATATCAGAAAATTAAGGTTAGATTTCAGAAATTTTGCCTATTAATAAATAATTTAACAAATATTTTAAATGATTAGAAATTTAAGGAGTTAGCGAGGCAAAAAAGAATAATCTTTAAAAAAAGACTAGATAATACTGTGTAAAGAAGAAACAGAATATAAAATGTATAAATTATTAGAAGATTGGATTGTTAATGTTGAGAAAGTTAAAGTTACAGAATTAGTTAAGTTTGAGGGAATTAAAAGAAATAAGCAGTAATACAAATGCTAAGGACATAAGACATTTGATTGCTAAAATAAATGGTATTTATAATTAATAATTTGAGGATTTTAATTGAAGGAGTGTCAATCATTAATTCTGATGAAACCATATATGTTATAGACTTAGAAATATATTCATAAGCAATTCGTAGTTTAATAAGCGAAGAGAAAGCAGTGATTGAGAGAAACCAAAAATATTACGATGATAATGATGATGACAATGAGGATTAGCTGCCTTAGAAAAAATCAAAGAAAAATATCAAAAAAAATGAGGATTTTAATGCAAGTTAAGTTGAGGACGATGACGAATCAAATGATTCATATTCTTCAGCCGAAGAAGATCCAGTTCCAAAGAAATAAAGAATATCAAGAAAAAAGGAAGAGAAAGATTAAAAAAAAGGAAAATAAAAAAGCAAAAAGTTTAGAGAAATATATAAAAACCTAAAAAAAGTTTGTGCTTAATTTGAAGGAACTGAAGATCATTTTATAGATCGTCAAAGTATAAAAGCCAACAATAAGGAATTGATTCGAGCAGCACAAACAGGAAATAAGAAATTAATGGAAGATATATTTGCAACAAAATGGAAAATATCTTCTGTCTAAGATAGTTGGGGACCAGAATTAGATATAACACCAGATTAAATTTTATTAAAAAGACAAGATAAGGAATTATTATCATATTATCTATAAAACAGAAAAAAAGTTATTTAGGGTCATAACCAACCTTGCACATTAAAGGAAATTAATACAGGTTATAACAATAAATATGCATATGGTGTAAGATTACGAAAAGTTGCTTTAGGGAGAGGAAATAGGGAAGGAAACAATGCATTTGTCTATGATTTAGGAGATGAAAGGATGGATTATTATTATTAAAAAATATTGGAAATTGAAACTGATCCTTAATTATATGAGTTATATTTCCTATATTGCGAAAATCGATCTTATGAAAGTGAATTAATCGAAAATGTTTCAAAAGCTGTTAGGTGTGGAAATTGGAGGAGTGCTAAATTTTTGATTAATTACTCTGTAGTAAATAATTAAGATGGATATGGATTTAATTATCTTCATCATGATGCATTGGGCGATAATTTTAGTACCTATAAATTGGAACAAATTAAAAAGATTTCAATTACAAAAAAAACATCCAATGATTTTTTAATTACTCCTATTCATTGTGCTTGCATCAATCCATCAGAATAGTTTTTGAAATATTTTATGGAATAAACTATGGAATTCAATTGTTAAGATGAAATAAACAGAAAACCTGTACACTATGCAGCTTCATCTTAAACTCCTAATTGTTTAGAATATTTATTGGCTAATGGAGTTGATGGAAGAGAGGGTGATAAATTTTAAATGACACCTGTAATGATAGCAGCAAAATATGGGAGAGCACATAATATCAAACTATTACTTAATACTAATCTTAAGGGTAAAAATAAAGAAGGAAATAGTGCCATTCATTTGGCTAGTTAGAATGGACATACTGAATGTGTTAAAATACTCATTGAAAATGGTGTATTAATAAATATTGCAGGTAAAAATAGAATGACTCCATTGCACTTTGCATGTGCATACAATCATATAGAATTGGTAGAATATTTGCTTGATGAAGGTGCCAGGATTAATTCTAAGGATAAGTTTGGTAGAACCCCTTTGATTATGGCTGCGAGAAATGGAAATCTAGCTATTTTATCTAAATTAATTTATTACGGAGCAGATGTAACTATTAGCGATTCATCAAAAAATAATGCTATTCATCATGCTGCTGCTTATGGTTTCATAGAATGTATTGAAACTCTAATTGAAGTAAATGTTGATTAAAATTAATTTAATTCATGGAAATTGACTCCTTTAAATGTAGCATTAGCTAAAAATCATTTTGGCATTGTCAAATCTTTACTCAAATAGGAAAGTACAGATGTTAATTGCATAGACGATGATGGTTTAACTTTAATAGGTAGCATGGTAAAGCAATTCAACTCTACTTAAGAGCAGTATGAATTTATCTAATTCCTTATTACAGAGAAGAAGGCTGATATTAATATCTAAGACAAATTTGGAAAAACATGCATACAACATGCCTTGCTTTGTCAATAATCGTAGAAATAAGTTTAATTAGTCAAACTGTTATTAGAGAACGGAGCTGATATACACATCAAAGATAAGGATGGGAGAACTTGTTTATTGCATATTCTGGGTACTTAGTAATCTCAGATCCAAACAGAACTTGTTAAATTATTCTTGTAAAAAGGGGCAAATATTAATTCTTAAGAAAAAGAAAATGGTTAATCAGGCTTCTCCCTTTGTTTAAAATAAAAAAATTATTCACTGATTTAGGAACTCTTAAATATTACAGAAGTTGATGTCAATCTAGTTAATAATGATGACAAAACATTTTTGCACATAATGATTGAAAACCAATTTTATTATGATCCCTAAGCAATCTAAATTTTCGAGATAATTTTAAATAAAATACAATCTTCATTAATCAACTCCTATGACCAGGATGGATTTGTACCATTAATAAGATTAGTTCATAATTTTGTTTAAAGTATATCATCACGAATTCAATTTGACTTTGACTAAAAAGTTGAAAAGCGTAAAAAAGAAATTTGGGATTAAATTATCAAGGAATATGAATCTAAGGAGGAAGAATTTAAAAGTATGATGGAAAATAATCCTTCAGCTACTCCATATAATACTTTATAAAACCAAATTTAATAAAGAATCAAAACAGCTAGATAAGTTTATCATGTCTCAAGATATTAATTCGAGAAAATTAGTGCGTAGGTTGGAATAACTTAGGAAGAAGTTGAGGAATTTAATAGATAGAAGGTTGATGATGGATATAGACATTAGAACAATTTATTTGAAATTATGAAGTTGTTAATTTCTAAAGGAGCCGATACGGCAGTGAGAGTAATTAAGTAAAAATGGTGCAGAGATAAAGAAAAGGAAACCTCTCCATTATAAAATAGTAATGTATTTCATATAGCGTTCTAATTCTTCCCTAGTGTTTCCTTTGTTAAAGAGCTTTAGAATTATTTCCCCAAAGATTTAATATATGAACATGATTTAAATGGTTAGCCAGTCCATTATTTCTTCTAAAATTACAAATTAAATTAAGTGATTTTGGAGAGGCATCGTAAGGAGACTTCTGAAATATTTTTTGATTACTTGATCTCTTTAGGATTAGACTTTACAGAAAAGAACTCAGTTGGCAATACTCCAACTTTGATGATCGCTTAAAATTATAATGAGTAGTATGTTCCATTGTTAGAAAAACTTGTAAGTTTAGGAGGCAAAATAAATGATGTTAATAATTCAAATATGGTGCCATTGCATAAATTTATATCTTAATCCGACACAAAATCTGTCAAGTCTTTGGTTTAGAAATTTAAATTGGATCCTAATTATTAAGATAAAAATGGAAGGACAGCTTTGCATTATGCTACCAATTTCAGTAATTCAAACGCCAATGCCAGTTTTTAGATGGAATAGATCTTAATCAAAAGTGGAGCCAAATGCAACATCAGAGACATATATAATAGAACTCCTTTGTTTTATGCATTTACCAAATTTGATAATCCTAGAGGTACAAATGAAATAGATCCTTTTGAATCAGTTTCCTCCTTATTAGCTTATGATGAATGTGAAGTCAATGCTTTGGATAAATATGGAAGATCCCCCTTACATTATGCTGCTTTAAGAGGCAGTGCCATTTCAGGTAGATATATGATTAAGATGGGGGCAAAAATTGATGAGCCTGACAATTTTAATAATACCCCTTTGGCATATGCATTCTTTGCACATTCTAATTTTAGTACAATGCTTATTGATAATAAAGCAAATGTTAATAAGCCAATCTCTATCATTAGTGATACTGATTTCAAAGCAGGGAAATATCAAATCTACTAGGAATAAGTTAGAAACGACAGAGAAGTGGATAGACTTATGAAGATAGAAGATTAAGAAATAAACACAAAACTGTTAAAGTTGAAACAGGAGGAGAGAAATAAATAATTGGAGAAAATCTAATAAGAAATGTAATAAACCAATAATAAAGACGATTAAATTTCAGAAGAATCTGACAATAATGAATAAACTAATAATAAAGTTAGAGAAGAATAGCCTATTATATTTAGAAGAAGACGTAAAGATAAAATAATATAGAGAAAGAAAATTATTGAATAGCTTGTTTAAGAAAAAATAAAGGCTGATTTAGACATACCTTAACATTTACATAATCAATTAGAAACAGGACAATATAGTTATTTCTCACGAGCTATTAAATTTGGTTGGCAAGGAGTAGCATATCTATTAATTAGCGATGGATATGAATTTGTCAAGGCTATTCAAGATGCAATTAATGCAAATCAATTTTAATTAGTGTTAACCCTACTAATGAAAGTGAAAAATATAAAAGATGTGCAAAGATTAGATGAGAAAGGTTAAAATTTATTTCATCTATTTGCAAAATATTCATCAAATGTTAATACTGATCTCAAATAGGAAATTATTGAGGAATTTGAAGCTAAACAAATAAGTCCATACTTGTAGGATAATTAATTAAAGACTCCCTTCCATTATGCAGCTGAAAATCAAGATTTATATTTGATAAATTACTTCCTTATAAAAAGGAAATGCGATCCTAATATTATGGATTCGACTTAAAATAATCCATTTACTATTTTACTCTAAAAAAGCTATTCTTAAAATTTTTCTTATTTTATTGATAATGGATTGAAAATAGATGTATAGTTTCAAGTCCTCGCTATTAGTAAATTTATGAAACCATTTATGTTTTTAGTAAATTATAGCAAAATAATAAATGTTGACAAATTAGAAACCTACATCAAATATGGAGTTGACATAAACGAATAAAATGAGGAAGGTGAAACTATTGTAACCATGGCAATTCAAAATAATAATATGAATCTATTAAAATTCATCTTAGATTAACCCACTTTTAAAAAGGAGTCTCATGCAATAGATCAAAATGGCAAAAGTCCAATCCACCATGTTGTCCTGCCATTGGAATTCGGATCATATGAAAACTTAAATATGTTGAAATTATTGACTCCAATATTTGATTATAATACGCAAGATAATAAAGGTTTAACACCCTTGGATTATGCTTTAATTTTTGATGCTTAAGTGATGAAGGATGAACTATTAAGTCTAAATGCTCATCATACTAGAAGTTTAAGATAGTAGAGGATGCCAACCTCAATAATATCAACTGCTTTGTGGCCAGATTAGGCATTAGATTTTGAAGAGGATGCACATTAATACCAAGGACTAATGAACATGCAACTAGAACCTGAAATTGATAATAAATAGATTGTTGACAAATCAGCTAGCATTACAAAAGGAGATCTAATTGTTTATGAAGATCCAGAATATGGACTATTCTAATGTTTAATGTCAAAAGTTGATATAGTGAATAATAATTTCCATAAAAATGTATTCTACAAAATGCAGATTCTTTTGGATAAAAATAGGAATAATTACATTTTATTTACCAAATGGGGTTAGATTGGAGAAGAAGGTCAGTTTTAAATGACTCCTTTTGAAAATTTAGAGGTTACAATTAAAGAATACTGTAAGATTTTCTCAGCAAAAACAGGGGGAAATAATTGGAAATTAATTAAAAGAGGTGAACAAGAGTTTGAGAAGAAACCAGGAAAATATCAATTGATGCAATTTAGCAACAATGTCAGTTATAAGACATTCTTAAAGCCATTTGATTTAAGCGACAAATCTCCATATCCTAAGTGTTAATTACATTAGAGTATTTAATCTGTGATTGAACAATTTGCACAGGTTAAATTGTATTAGCAAGAACTATAAAATTATCAATTTGACACAAGCTTTGTTCCGTTGGAAAAACTAAATAAAAATGTAATTTTAAAAGCCAAAGAATATTTATTGGAACTTAAGGATATTGTAAAAGAACTTGCTGAGTATATGTAATTAGCAGACAAAGATCTAAAGAAATTGTAATCATTTTACTCTGAGATCAACGAAAAATCAGCTCGATATTATGAACTTATACCCTAAACTTAAATGAGATAAAATGTGCTACCTTTACTGGAAAGCGATAATAAAATTAATTAATAATTATAATTAGTTGAGGTACTCCTCAATGTTGAACTCTCAGTTAAAATACTACTAGGAGCTAATTTCAAAGCAGATAGCCTTCACCCATTAACATATTGTTTTAATGCATTGAATATTAAAATGCTTACATTAACAAAGGAAGATTTAGAATATAAGATGATAAAGACATATATGGGTAAAACTTAAACTGTAAAAATCTCAAACATTTTTGCTATTGAAAGGAAAGGAGAGGCAAAGAAATTTGAGCAATTTAACAATGGGCCGAGAATGTTGCTATGGCACGGCTCAAAAATATCAAATTTCATTAGTTTGATGGCACTTGGATTGAAAAGTAATATTGCAATATTATTAATTAGTTGCTCCTGCATGGGCTGTAAATACCGGAGCCTTATATGGAAAAGGAATCTACTTTGCAGATCAATTTTCCAAGAGCTATAACTATACTACTGATTCTACAATTAGATAGGGCTATAATAATTAGAGATCTCAATAATATCAAAATCTTCATAAATACAGATATTTATTATTATGTGAAGTGAGTTGTATGAATCAAGTGGATCTTTATAATTATCACCAATAGGATATCAGTACCTACTTTAGTAATTAATTTTATTATTATTAGAACCTGAAATAACTTTAAGGGTAGTAGGATCCTAAGGTCCAGATTCCATGTCATAAATTAAATTACCAAACGGATGTGTTGTCCCAATCGGTAATCTCGTTTCTTAACCTTTTCCTGATCATCTAAAAGAAAAATTAGGACATTAAAATGGGTTCAAGACTGCATAAACTGAATACATAATTTATGACGAAAGCAGAGTGAGAATTAGATATTTAGTCTAAATTGAACAGTGATTTTATTTAAGTATTATTTCATTACAATTCTATTATTATCTGTCAGGAAATACTGTAAGTTTTAAGGTTGAACCACATAAATTGATTTTAAACAATATTAATATTCAAAACTAAATAAACTTAATTAAATTGATTCTGAACTATAAAAAAATTATTGAAAATGGGAAATTATTGTATAACAGAGATGACAATTGAAGAGGATAATGAAGCATTTGCAAAATCAAGTGTTTAAGCTAGTAATTTGAATAAAATTTTTTCCTCAAAATATAAAATGGAGGCTGATGAAGACTGTTTATCAGAATTAATGAATCAAATTGAACCTGGGTTTAGTGCATAATTTGAGATCAGAAAAAAGAGAAATATGAGTGGTACACATTTTGAATCAGCCACTTAATATAAAGATGTCCATCAAAAATAACTCAAACCTTCACTTAAATAAATTTCTCATCATAATTCTCTTCAAAGAGAGCATAGTAATAAAACAGTTAGATGGGACAGTTAGTGTCACTCATCTGATTCTCTTAAATAATGAATTCTGTATTTTATATTAAAAAATGTATTAAAACACTTTGCAAAGCTCAATAAAAAGGTTTGACAAACTAACTACTTCTGAGACTAAATATTCTCGACAATCTTAAGATTCCTATTATCTAAAAAATAAATAGCAAACCCAATTGGCAATTCCTAGTTTTCGAACCCTCATTACATCTAGATGCAAAACATAATACACTATAGATTTATAATAGGATAAATCACCAACTACTACATAAAGAAGAATTCTAAAAAACAAGGATGAAGTTGCTGAAAAACTTATTCCAAGATCAAATGAAATACTTGAAATTTATGATGAATTCGAAAAAAATTATAACAATGTAAAAATGTTGAACTAATTCGCTTATGATTTGAATTATTAGGACCCACAAATATTTAGTACGATAAACAAATAAGAATCAGAAAATATTAATAAAGTGACTAATTATTAAAATAACTACCTTACTTAATGTGATCTAAATTATGAAATGAAATTAGAAATTCATAGATTTCGATTCCAGTATTACAGAATTAGAATCAAGGATTAAGAATCTCCTATTCAAATAACATTCTTAAGCTAAAATGCTCAAATAAATAGTCTCAGATCATATTTTTCATTGAAAATTGAATTCCCAACAAAATTTAATGCTGACTATCAAGTAAACAGTAAATCAATTAGAATTTTCACTAACAATAATACATAATTTTTTACTGAAGACTATTTATTTATGACCTTATACTCACAAAATGATTTTTTATGTACAGTGGTTGTCACTTTTGGATTTGAGAGAAAACTGAAAGTCAATAAGCCATAAAAAACACAATCTTTGTTTGAAGATTTTGTTCCAAGAACAAGAAAGCAAAAGTCTTAACCAAAAATATATTATTAACCCGAGGCTCGTTTATAGAATCTACTTAATCCTGAGACATTATAGCAAATAAAATCAGATAGATAAATCAGATAATAAAGAGTTCTTAATAATGGAAAAAATATCACAGAAGAAAAACTATTAGAAAAGAAGAGCAAATTATTTGTGAAGGAATAGATCATAAAATATAGAGAGATTGAAAAAATTACAAAACAAAAGGTCTCATATAGAAATGCAATTTAAAAAGCATGGCTTAAATGTATCTTTACAACTATTTTCCTTCACAACTTACAGTATTTTTTATTGGTATAATATTTGTTAATTATTTAGTGTTAAAAAAAATAGATTCGACTAGAAGCCAGAGGAAAATTGTTGGTTTGGCAATTATAAACTAAATCTTTAATTTCTGTCAAAGATTTTGGAGATACTCCTACTGAAAGAACTATTTTTAAGTCTTCACTTTCATTAAATGCTATCTGCATGGCTTTAAAGAAACCAATCAAATAAAAGGCTAATAAAGTAATCTCATCATATTTATAATCCATAATATTGGCCATTAGTGTTTTAAATAAATATTAAAGATGGACAGCAAAAAGTATATATACTTAATCTTATTCTTAGTAATTTCCATTTAAAGGAATTTCAGGAATATGAAAAGCAAAAAAAGAAACTTTAAAGAAAAGCTTTGGAGATTAATAAAAGAAGAGTTTGATGATATCATTTATGAATTTGCTTAGTTGAAAGGCATTACTTCATACTATGATTATGAAGAAAGATCACATATCCATATTGATACGTATTTTTTTATTCTATTCATAGAGTTTTAATGTTTTCATTATTAGATGAATATGCTTAAAGAAAAAAAGAGATTTGGTAAAAATATATCCATGATACATTTGTTGTTAATAATCCTAAGAATGTATTTCAATATGTTTAAGATAGAGACTGATAAGTTTGGCTATCAATTTTAAAAAACCATCTTTGTTTTAGTTACCTAATGAATTCGAGATCAGAGATATAATAGAGAAGTACGCATCTATTAAAAGATTAATATGATAACATCAATTATTTTAATGATTATAGAAACTCAGAAACATTTTTAATAAGATAGATTTATTTTAAATTATGGCTGATGCCTAATTTCTTTTTACTTTCAATTCTATTGGATGTACTTTTAAATGTGGCTACCTCTCAATTTGCTCAAAGTTAGTAATTCTGTTGATTTTCCTTATATTTAAGTCGCTCTAATTTTCGTCTAATTGTTTTTTTATGGATTCATTCAGAATTATTTGATGAATTTGTATTAAATTCATTTCGACAATATCAATACTCCCATCTATAATGATATAGAATATTTTATTAAAAATTTGATTCAATTATTTTTGAATTAAATTTCGATTACAGAATTATATAATTTTCATCCGAAAAGTTATGCACTTAATTTAAGCATATATTTAATATTCTAATCAACGAAGAAATTCCTTAATTTCATAGTTTGTTATTTTTGCCTTTATTTTATTAAGTTTTTTCAATAAAATACATGTATTCTCATCTATGATAATAATGGGTTGAATTTTTGATTAAGATTAGATATATTTATTAAGAAATGGAATATCTCAATTAATCCTAAATGAGTTGTCAAATAAAACCAAGATTAAAAATTTTCAAATCAAAATACTTTAAAAACAATATTATTACGAAAATGTACCAAAGAATTTTAATGTATGGATCCAAATAAAAATTTAATCTGCAATATTAATCTATTCTTTATAGTTAGAATAAAATAATGAAGTTCAATAGCCTAATTAAATAAAAGCAATTTAGCAGCTTTTCGGTCTATTAGCACTTGGCATGATGATTCATGATAAAGAAAAATAAAACTGAAGAGAAATTATTAAATAGAATATTATTTCGAGAAGTTTATAGAAATTATTATATAATTTAATATCTATAGAGGAGGGTGTTTATATTAAATGAAAATGTTGGAAAAACAGAATGGCTGTTTTCAGCATTAAATATAACAACAATTAGATATTCTTAAATACAAAATTTAGATTAGAATAAAAATAACCAAATTCTAGGATCATTAAAGGCGATAAACACTTTCTTTATTAGGGCCTACTAAAATACATTAGTTCCGTTAAGGAGCAGCATTATTTAATATTTTGCATTCTTTCATTGTAGTAATATGTTCATTTTTGTTTGAAGCATCACCTGAAAATACTTTGTATAAATTTTAATCAGTCTCTTGAACAATTACTGAAAACTCAAATCTGTTTTTATCTATCATAACTGTATTGATCTTAGCAATGCTAACTTCTTTTTTAGAATTGTATTTAATAGTTTTGAATTAAAATTCTTTTGTTTTATCTTCAAGTTCCATAGAATCATTATCTGATTGATTTAGATTTCTTAAGATTAAATACTAAATTTCTAGCTGATACTTGTTTTCCTTTTCTTTCTTTACGTTGCAATAGCTATAAAACACCAGCAATTCACCATTCTCCAAACTTGCCACTATTGAAGGAATTTACATGTTCATATTAAATTATACTGGTGTTGTTTTTTTTATGGGAGACTGTGAGAACAATAGCGGTTCTTTTTCCCATGAATTAGGCTTGTATCTTAGAATGTTATCCCATTTTATTTTTCTAATCATTTAGATTGAAAATTCATAAATGGTTGTACTTGTACATACAACCAAATATGGACATTTTTTTTCACCTTCATATTGCCATTTGACTTCAAGTCCAATCAAACAAAAGTCTTCTTTTATCGAAGCTATGGTATATATTAAAGTGATGGGGACCTTCGTAACTGAGGCTTCTAGTGAATCCTTTACGTCTTGTAAATTTATCCAATCACTAATTTTAGATTTTAAAATATACCTTTCATATAAATTTAAGGAAATGTGATCTTAATGAATAATTTTTCTAACTATCCAAAGTTGTTCATTATAAAAATCATTCAAAATGACTTCATCAAAATCCAGATAATCATCTTTTTCTTTCGGGTCTTCAAATATAAATTTTCTTGTTTTTGGGCTTGGCTTTTCATGAAAATACAACAAATATAAGTTTTAAACCGAATTGTAATTGAATATATATTGATTATTTCTGTCTTCCAACCACTAAAAAAATAAACTAAATAATTACATTGACATAAAGGCAAGATTCTCTAAGTTTATTTGGTTGTTCTACTTGTTATATAATAAATTGATTAGTTTCAACTTCAATATCAATCGTTGTTCTTATCAAGTCATAGATAAATAAAAATTTATGAACTTACAATAAAGCCTGTTTTGACAGCATCTTCAAATTGATACTATCCTCTTGATTTTATATTTATAGATCATCCTAAACCAATTCTTAAACAATCACAATAAAGACTAATTTATCATTACTTTATTAAATTATTTTCCTGTTTAGTTAATTGGATTTAAATAGTTTTTTCTTTTTTTGATAAAACTCAAAGTTCTATTAATTCAATATCTAGCAATTTTATAGTATTAAAATAGATGAATCTCCAAAAATAGACAATCTTTAAATTTAGGATTAAATTGGAGTGGCTAAATATTAGGTTTGTGCCTCAAAAAAAAGCAAAGAATAATTATTAATATTAACAACAATAGAGTTTTCATAACACTTCAATTTACCAGCATTTTCAGTTACTTTCAAATTAAAGTAATTTTTCTCATCAATTTCTATAGTTAATGAGCATGTTCTTAAATCAAAATTGTTTTCTTAGCAAGTTGATTAGTAGGAACCTCCTAATAATATGAATTTATTTTAATTAAGCTAAGTAATTGAAAAATTTATTAAGGAAAAAATATTCTACTTACTAATTTCTTTATTACAGTATTTTAATGGTTTTGCTTATACTTCTAAATCATATTTGTATACTTCTACATAATATTAAAATCCAGTGTAGCTGTTTTTTGACATTTTATGTCTACTCGAGGATTCAGTTGAAATTAATACATTAAATTAATAGAATTATGAATTTACCAATAAATAGGAACTCTTGAAATTATGTTTTATAAAGAATTGATATTCATTTAGATCTATCTACTCTTCAATTTGTTTTTCACTTTTTAAGTTGTAATAACATTTTTTATAAAATAATTTGCTGTCTGAAACAATACAAATTATAAAGTAATGTTCATTTGAATTATAAGAAATGAAATGTTCATATTCTGAAATTTTTATAGGCCTCTTTTTTTCATCGTAGACTTTGGTTAGAACAATTTGATTTATCAAATTCAAAATTCCAATAACATTAAATTCAAATTCATAATTTTTACTCTTTATTTCCTGCTCTTATTATGAAGAGATCTTATAATCTAAAACTTCATTCTTTTATTAAAATTCCATTTCAATATCACATGATTAATATTTATTTTTTCTAACTTGCAATGCTGAAAATTAATTAGCAAAAAATTATTATTCTTTTTTGTTCTATGCAAAATAATAACTATATTCTCTGTATAATTAAGGAGACATATCTTCACATTCATAATAAGCCTTATTCTTTCGTTTATATGAATATTCTAAACATGAATTTGTTATTAAAACAGTGTATTTTAAGTATTTTTCATAATTATATGGGGTATCTTAAGCTAATATGGGGATAATTATGAGAGAATTTTATGAAATTTTCTCTAATTAGGTAATTAATTTTTAGAAAAAGTATGTCTCAAAATCAATAGAATCATGAATTTCTATGAATAGAACAATAATTTTTGGCTTAAACTATCTTATTTTAGTCTTTAAAAAGTATTTAAATAGTAAATGAATTTAATTGGTAATCTTATTGGAAACATTTAATTTTGCATAATATTGATTTTATTTAATTTAATCATTGATACCTGTTTAAAATCCAGATTAGGAATATTAATTTTAGATCATTAAAGAGAAACTCTATAAAGATTAAAAATCCTTTTCTTAATTAATAGGTTCAAAATTGAATTATGAAGTAATCCCAACATAAGTAACTTTTAAATTTTCTTTCCTTTTGCAATCTTATTAATAATTAAATTCATTTATTGCTTTATTCAAATAAATAATTATTCTATCTGGGCTGATTAAATTATTTTACAATAAAATCTATGAGAATTCTCCTTAATGGAAATTTTCAAATCCAAATTTGAGATAATCTACAAAATTCTTTTCGATTAACTTCTCGTACACTTCATTATCATAACTACAGTCGGTTGATACGGATTATGAAGTTTATTCTTTTGTCAGTTAAGTAGTAAACATTCTGGGTTCATCAGTTTTTCGTTTTATATAAGTGTATTTTTTACGACTATTTTCTTATTATTAATATTCAATTATATAATCTATTATCCTTTCTTAAATAGATATACATTTATTTTGAGTGGAATTTAATTCGTTTTAGTATTCTTTCCTATTCATTTACTTCTTTTTAGTTTACAATAAATTATTTAAATAAAAGAATTGTTAAAAATTTTGATTTTCAGGAAGGTCTGCATTTTTTCGAAAAAAATTCTATGAAAATAAATTTTTATCTTCATAATTGGGAAATTTATGTTAAATTTAACTTCCAAACATGTTTTTGTTAATCTGATATTGAGATTTGGCTTAAGAATTCATATTTTATAAATAAAATAATATTAAAAAAACTTAATTATCTTGAGAATTTAACTTCAATTTGATAAGAAGAAGGATTAAAAAAAAATTCTATTAGTCTGAACTACATAATTAAAGGAGAAAATAAAAAATACCTAAGTAGAATATTTTTTTATTCAATAATCTGGAAATTCAAAAAACCCTGTTTCAAAAACAGATTTGGATAGTGGTGTAATGTTGATTGAATTTCTTTATCTGATTAATTAAAACTATGCTTACCTTTCTTATCAATAATGTCGACTCATTATATTCTATCACTAATAGAATAGTGCTACACATTTTATTTAATTTAACCATTTTTGATTGAACAATTAAATTTGTATGTGAAAATGTCAAAAATTGATGAAGTAGTAAGAATTTAAATTTATAAACTTTATTATTTTTTTGGTTATGTTAAAAATTTTTAATAAAATTACAACGTAGTATAATTAAAAAATAAATCAAAAATAATGAGAAAATTAAGCATCATTCCTCGATTCTAAAATTTTACACAACAAATCTCTCAAGTTAGCTTTAGTAACAGGTTTTTCTATGGCTCCAAACATTCCCACTCTTTTGTAGACTTCTAATTACTCAGGTGTTTATCTATTTCCTGTACAAGCAACTATTTTCAATGATTTATCAATATCTAATAGTCTATTAGCAGTTTCCATCCCATCCATAACAGGCATCTCAATATCTAAAAAGATGATTTTATATTGGTTAAAATCTTTTATCCTTTGGTGACATTTTTTGATTGCAATTTCACCCGATATAGCCGAATCACAAGTTAAAAATAACTATTCTAATATGTATTAAAGGACAATTATGTTGAATTCATTATCATCAACTATTAGAATTGGTGGTTGTTTTTGGGATGGGTCTGACCAACTGTTGATTTATTCAATAATCAAATTAGATTGAGTTGTGGATTTTCTTTGGTAGGACTTCTCATTATCGGTATTAAAAGGTAATAAACGATTTGAAGATAATAGGTTAGATGAATTGACTCTCAGATTATATTTTTTGATGTCTTAATTACTTTAAAGTTGAATTCCTTGACAATTTTCGCATGAGGCTGGTCTAACAGCAACAGCAAAGTCTTATGAAGTCTACCTTAAACTTTGGGAGTTCAAGAAATGAGATTCAGGTAATTTCTAAATTTCTTAAACAGCCATTTCAGAAGACTCTGATAGATCTTCATCTGAAGGTTTTTGATTAAATATTGAAAAAGAAAATGTCGATCCATTTCCATATTCCGATTAAACAGAGATCCCCTCATTATTAGATGATAATAATTTTGATAATTCATTGCAGATTAATAATCCTAAACCTATTCCATTAGGATTTACATCCCTATTTGCAAGATCCTCAACTCTTGAAAATTCTTAAAATAAGGACTATAAATTCTCTGGTTTGATTCCTAAACCTGAATCAGTGACTTAAATGATAAATGTTGAATTGATCTTTTGGTAATCACAATTGATAGCAATTATCTTTTTTGCCTCTGAATATTTAATAGCATTACTTAATAAATTCATAATCACTTACCTGATTCTATTTTTGTCGCTATTTACAAATTAATTTATTTACTAATTGGTACAATAATTTAGGATTATTTTAAGCTCCTTTTTTTCTTTTTGAATATCAAATATTGAGATTGTTTTTTCTATTAACCGTTTTAGATTAAACTTTCTAAATACTAATCTGATTTTTTTATTCTATAGTTAAGCCGAATCTAAAATATCATTAACTAAATTCAAGAGCAATCTACAAGAATTAAGTGATGGCTTCAAGTAACGGTTGAATAAGTAAGTGTCAATTTATTCTCTCAAACAAAGCTACATATTTATAATTGCATTTAATGGTGTTCTCATATCATGAGAAACTTTGCTCAAAGTCTTCATCATTTTCTTAGTACGTTCGTCTGCAATGTCAATTTGATTCTAATTTAATTTATTTTTTTTTTATTTTTTGACAACAAGATAAAAAAGTTGTTTTTTTTAATTGATCCAATTACAATATTTATAAACATGATCATTACCCAAATACACTTTCTTCACTATTATAACGGAATCTGTAAAAGTTTCAAATTTCTACATTGACCACTCTTTGTTATTCGTTTTTAGTTAAGAGAGAACATGTTTAAATTCATAGGTATTTTTATTATCAATGAATTAAGGACAAATTCCAATTTTTAGTGATTCTCTAGGAGTAATAATGTTATCAACATCTTGATCCTATGAAATTATCACTTATTCCTTCTAGATTTATGCAAATCTTTCTTCATCATATACTGGATTCAAATTGTTGTCCAAAATTACATAAATGTTTGATGTGATTTATTTAATTATATCTTGTGCTTGATTTAAATTATAGGATTGTTTCTTAAAGAGAAAAAGCAATAAAAAATAGGAGAGACAATTTCTAATTATTCCAGTTGGCAAATAATCCAGATTGGCTGATGTTATTGATACTAAATGTATAGTAAATGCTATAGGAATCAATAATTTAGTTTTTGTCTAGTTTAATTTGAAAATGCACACAATTTGAATTCCTATATGGACCATCCAATTTTGATACAATAATTAGGAAATCAATAGGATCCAAGCTAATTTAAAAATGTTCAGAGTGATTTTAATTGAGGAATTGCTCCATAATTATTCAGCAATGAAGAGAATTAAGTGAAATCCAACTGAAGATAATCCCATTATCAAATATTTGATTTCATCTGTAAAGTAAAATTACAAGTGTAGTATCATGCTGTCGATTGTCAACACTATTTATAATATTTAATCGTCACTTAACATTTAATTAAATACTTAATCAATTAATATAGAAATATCATGGACCTTTATCAATAAATAATATTTTGGTTAATAAATTTGATCCAATCTAATTTATACGATGTTTTGAATATTGACCTAATCTTGAATTTTAGAAATTGAGTATTATTTTAATTATCATAATTTTTTAAAAAGAAAAAGACCTAATTTTCGCTGCAAAATGAATCATAAAATAATTTTATTTATTTTCTTAAGTTATTTAATGTAGGACGCGTAGAAACTTTAAAAGTTATCTTAACTCCCTAAAAACTTTTCAGATTGGCAAGTTGGAGATGATTATGAGATAATCAAATAAATAGGATCTGGCTCATATGGATAAGTTGTAGAGGCTATGTAAAAATCCACAAACAAGAAGGTCGCTATTAAGAGGTTCAATTTCATATATATATTTAAGATTAACAGCAATATTTGATGATGAAATAGATTGCAAAAGAATCTTAAGAGAAATTTGCATTTTAAGAGAATTGAAGCACCAAAATCTAATTCAAATTATTGAAATTCTTGAACCACAAGACCCTAAATCATTTGACACCATATATGTCGTGATGGAATATGCTCAAGTATTTATTTCTTAAGTATCAAAGAGTGACTTAAAAAAATTATTCAAATCCCCAATTCATTTATAATTTCTCCACATCCAAACTATTGTCTACAATATTTGTGTTGGCCTTAAATATTTGCATTCAGCTAAGGTTTTACATAGAGACTTAAAGCCAGCAAATGTTTTATTAAATGAAGATTGCACTGTTAAAATATGTGATTTCGGATTAGCCAGAAGTGTGCAAGGTTATTCATTTAATACTATATTCTAGGCATTGATGCCACAGATTAGGCATTAGAGGAAGAACTTGCTAGGCAATAAGAAGAGCCCAAAAAGAAGGATGAGAAAAAAGGACCTAGAATGCTATAAAAATAAAATAAACTTAATGCCAAAGCTGTAAAGAGAGAGTTGACTGGACATGTAGTAACAAGATGGTATAGAGCACCAGAAGTTATTCTCTTGGAAAAAGATTATACTGCAGCTATCGATGTTTGGTCTGTTGGTTGTATCTTTGCAGAATTGCTAAACATGATGAAAGAAAATGCACCAACATTCTTAGATAGAGCTCCTCTATTCCCTGGAACCAGTTGTTTTCCCCTTAGTCCAGAAAGAAGTGCCATAGCAAAAAAAGGAGGATTTCCTTATTCAAATACAGATTAACTCACTGTCATCTTTTCTGTCTTGGGAACACCTGGAGAAAAGTATCAATACAATTAATTAAATTAGAGACATGGATTTTGTCACTGATAAAAAAGCTATTGAATACTTGAAGAGTTTTCCAAAAAAACCTAAGGTTGCATTTGTTGAAATATTTCCAGGAGCACCTCCTGAGGCTTTGGATTTTCTAGACAAATGCCTATAATTTAGTCCAAAGATAAGAATCACTTTGGATCAAGCAATTGAACATCCAATGCTTTAAAAAGTTAGAGATAAAAAAAAGGAAACAGCTGCTCCTGGTATTTATACTCATTAATTCATAGGACCTATATACTTAGATTTTGAATAAGAAGGCGATTTATAAATTCCAAGATTAAGAGAATTATTTTTAAGAGAAATTTCAAAATATAAGCGCTGAATCTGTGGGTCTTATTCATTAGTATATATTTTAATATCTATGTTATTTTTATCATTCAAAATTTCTTATAAAGCGAAATCATTTATAAGGAAATAATCCGAATTTCTCAAAATTTTTTATATATGAATTATAAACACATTAACACTTATCATATCAATACAAGAATTAGAATCATAAGATCTTTTCTAGAGTTTAGTAAAGAAGAGCGAATTGGATCTCTTCTTCTCTGTCTTCTTATTCAAACCACGATTACTTAAATTCAATTTCATGTTTTTTTAATAATTGCTAACTCAATCCTTTTGACATTTTTGTACTTCCAGTTGTATCATCATTTTAATTAAAATAGTTCCCACAAGCTTTCTGGATTTTATCTCTATTTATTTGCTGAATGTTATTTGTAATACGAAATTTTGTCTAATTCATAACAATAAATAACTTACTGATGGAGTTATTGGGTTAAAATTTGTTTAACTTTTTTCTCTTGTAAATTATCTTGATATTGTTGGTCGAGGTACAGTTTTTCTTTAGATATTAAATTATGAGTGAGTATTCATAAAGTTCATTATAAATATTTATGTTATCTATTTTTATGAATTAAATCAATAGCTATAATTTTATATTTCAAAATTATTGCCATTAATAAAATTATCTTACTAAACATTACATAAATATAGCAGTCATCTCTTTTAAGAATTTTACAATCTTCAAAAATACTGAGTTAATAATTGGAAAAATATTATTATAGAAGATACTCATAAGCATTTGGTTTTGGTTATTGTATATAATCTACAAGTATTTAATCTTAAAGAATATGACAAAATTATTTGATATTTAATAATTTTGATTAATTTGAAGTAGTTGGAGAGAAAGAAATAATTTATGTCATTTGAACAATATAAATCACTTAAGTTGTGGGGAAAAATACATTTGTCTTATTGATCTTTACTAATCTCTACCTCTTACATAGTCATCATTTTTAATAAGGGTTTATTATTGGATACTCTGATTTAAATTAATCTGGCGATTATTCTATTAAAATGGGTTCTACAAGATTCCTGGCTATGTAATTTTTTAGAACTTTTATAATTTTAATTTATACTTCAATCTGTTTACTATTTGGAAATCGAGATTAGGACTGATTAATGCTGGGTTGATTTCGAAAACCATTAGGATACCTTATTGATTCTCTTTAAAATGCCGATTAATTAATTAAAATGACAGGCATATTACTTCTTTAAATTACAGTTTATTACTAGTTCTGTCTTGTAATTTCGGTTAATTCTTTTTTAATATTTTCAATTGTTATTCTTTTATTAGGATCTCTTTATAACATTTTGATTAATAGCTCTTTATACTTATCTTCTAAATTGTTAAGTTTTCTAATCTCTTATTCTATATGAAGCGTCTTAATCTAGTGATGTATTTCTGGAATGGTTTTGCCTAATTTAAATTTATAGATTTATACCATTAAAGAGTGGAGAGTTTGTAAATAATTCATACATCAAAGCACCAAATGCCCAAATATCAACACTTTAATTATAAGTGACTTGCTAATTAAAATGAGAATCTTGAGCCAATTATTCTGGAGCCAAATAATATGGTGTTCCAACGCATGGTGTCTACATTTTTTATATGTCTTTAGTAGTTCCGAAATCACAAATCTTATAAACTTCTTGAGTTTTATCTTAATCCTCTAGTGTAAAAATAAGAATGTTTTCAGGTTTCAAATCTCTATGAGCAATACCTAGAGAGTGTAATTCATGGATTCCATTCGCAATTTGCTTCATAACATATCTAGCTTCTTTTGGAGAGACTTTAGATTGCTATATTTTATTCTATAAAGAATTCAAACCTAATTCCATAACTATAGATATCTAATTTTGATGAATTTAGAAATCAAAGATATTTACAAGATTTTTAAACTCCTTACCTATTAATTTTCTAATTAGATAAAGCTCATTTTCTGATATATATTGTTACATCTTGATCGCAACTAATTTTTTATTTGATTAATCCTAAGCCTTATAAACTGTTCCAAAGCTTCCTTTACCTATGACATCCTTAACTATATAAGACTTTGTGTTGATAAAAATTGTTGCCATAATTTCTATTAAATGTATTATTGTTATTATAATTGACTGAAAAATATATATGAAAATATGAAATAAATTATCAAAGCCTCATTAAATTTTATTTATAAATCTAAAGGAGTAAATTTATCTATAGATTATATTGATTTATGATGAGTGAATTAAAATACTGATATATAGTTTATATGTTTTTATATATTGATGTTTCTTTTTGCCTAATAATTTAAGGAAATTTTATTCTTTGGTCTTGAAGAGTGATTAATTGGATTCGTTCAATAAAGGGTTACTTCAAAAAAAGAAGATAAATAAATTCCATCCTATAAATAGTTATTTATCAGCACTATGATTATTTGATAATACAATTTTATTTATATTGTACCTTATGATCATAGTGATGCTGCAAAGGAGGTTTTCATTCAATTAGTTGAGTTCCCAACAAATGCTCCCAAAATTTGTTCTTATTTTTAGATTATTTAGTTTATATTTTGTTATTCATCAGTTAAATATATTATTTCAAAATTAAAAATGAGAAAGAAAATAGAGAAAACAAAAAAAAGTATCAATTTCTATTATCTTTAGAACCTTGGACTGATTATGAAGACACTCAAGTTATGTAATTGGTAGAGTAGTATGGTCCTCATAAATGGACTTTTATAGCTTCCAAATTACCAGGAAGGATTGGAAAATAATGTAGAGAGAGGTATTGAATTTTATTAATGGTCTTAGATGGCATAATCATTTGAATCCTTTAATTAAAAAGAATCCATGGGATTCCAGTGAGGAGTGGCTCCTTTTCTTGTATCATAAAGCAATAAGCAATAAATGGGCAGAAATTGCTAAGCATCTAGAAGGAAGAACAGACAACGCCATAAAGAATCATTGGAATTCTGGAATGAAAAAAAGAATCCCGGAATTCACAGATAAATTATTAGGAATAAAATAATAGTTTCTCTAAAAAGGGTTGTATCATTTAATTTTATGAAGGAAGGCCTTCTTACTTTGATCAATTTGAGGTTGAGTTTGAAAGAAAAGCTTTAGAAATCATCTTTCTCAATAAAACCTATGTAAGTCTACTCACAGATTCCGAAGACGAAGATGAAGAACCTAAAAAATAACCAATCTAATAAAGTAGAGAGAGCACAGCCATTAGAATCTAATAATATGTAGATAATAATTTAATATTCTCATAGAATGATATGAGAAATAGAACTATTATTAAGCATCCTAGAAGAAATAGAATGCATAAAAAGTATCTACTGTTCAAGAAATAATAGAAAGAAAATAATAATTCAAATAAAGAGAAACTTTTTATAATGGACACACACACCTTAGAAATATGAAAAGTATAACTTCATTTTATTCTAGTGATGATTATTATTATACACCTGCTGCATTTAATAAATAAAGAAGAATGAGTAGCAGTCTTAAATATAGTTAGCTTCAAAGCTATGTAAATGAGAGCATATAACAATAGTTTAACGAATCTTACATTGAAAGGGAAGAACTAAAGCAAAATTTATTCCTTTGAAATTTTGATTCAATTTTGAGAATTTTTTTATTTCTTTATTTTGGTTTAAATAAAGAGATCATTTTATATAATATATTTTTTTAATTAGCCACTTTGAGAATGGCTTAGATTTCTAGTGCAATTTTTTGTTGTATATCTTCATCAATTTATAGATACATATATATTCTAAATTAATTTTAGATTGTTATGTTTATTAAGAAAATTTGAAATAATTCTAATTGGAGCAACAGCTTAATGATTGTCTGAAAGAGCTAAATCAAGTAGTAATAGATATTTAAGGCTATATTAGATAATGAACTTAAAATTTAAAAATAATAGTAAATTTAGATTAACCAAAATACAAAGTTGATTTTATAATCGCGATATTGGAAAAAATATTATTTATGTCTAATAGGACAATGAAATTTAATTGATACTCCAATCTAATTTGATCAAAGGTTTTAAAGAGGATATTGATTTATTATAAAATAAATTTTTGCAATATATATATATATCATTTTTTTTATTCATTTTGCATTTATTACTAATACATTGGGTAGATTACTCCATTTTAAGAATTTTAATGTTATCCACTGAATTATTAAAACCCTGCTTAAAGTGCTTACAGATTCGGTATTTAAGATTGGATATTTGGAATTTACACTTATTATTACATCTGCTATCCTGGACCTTACTATAAAAATGATTAAAATCCCGCCTATTGTAATTAGGGTAATAATGGAAATATTGGAACTTAATGTATTTAAGATAATCCATTGATAGGAGGAGGAGCTTTTGATTGATCTTAAAAGTTATAATATTGAGATAAAAATTAGGTAGGAAGTTAAAATTAAAGTGGATTTAATTAATTTAGAGGATTAAGCCATTATAATTATTATAACTAAGCTAGTTGTTACATCTATTAGAATTATTGAAATTGATTAGGTTATTAAAATTAAGGAAGATCAGTTGGAAATGATCCAGTTTTGGCCTCTTATTTAATATAGCTAGCATCAGATATTTTATTTTGGCAGCCTTCTTCCATTTTCACCTTCTTTTAAAGGGGTATTTGCATTTGAAATTATTATTAAAGAAGTTATTATTATTACAATTGTTGTTGTTATTAAAATTATTATTATTATTGTATTTATTGTGGTGGTATATTTAATTATTAAGGCTATATAATTTATTATTATTATGGCGGTTGCTATTAAGTTAGTTTTAATGCTTTTTTCTATTCTTTTGAAGAATCCTCCTCTTGACTATCACTTTCTTTCATCAATCCATGCTCGAATTTTTTTTTTAAAGGTTCCAAATATCTTTTTCTTGAGTTTGTAAACCAATTTTAAATCTAAAACTATCATTATACAGTTATACTTATCTAACATGCATACCAGTTATTTTAGAGAGCCTCTGTTTTTCAGTATTATCTGGATAGGGATTATCGAGATGATCCAAAAACCACTTTTTAAGAATGTCTATTGATCTCTTTTAGAATTTATTTTTATTAGAATTTTTGTTAAACTGCATTATAGGTTGTTGCTCGTCATCATCATTTTTTTCTTTTACTTTAAATAAAATATTTTTTACTGATTTCTTCATTACTACTACTTTCCTCTCCTAAGGAATTGCTCTCTTCAACATCATCTTCACAGTTAAATAGTTGAGAGGCCAATTTATCGAATTATTCCTTAGATTACTTAAGTTTTTATTATTTCTCTTGGATAGATTCATATAATTTGTCTAATCCTTCTTCTATTTGTAATGTGATTTGAGCTTCATTGTATTCAGTAACAGAAGATGAAAATAATGGCAAGAAGACTTGTTGGAGTCTATTATGCGAGCACTTTTCACATATCTCAAGGTATTTAGTATCGAATATTTGAGCAAGACATTTACGAAACTTTAAACTTTTAAAAATGTAAGGAAACATTTGAATTGGTATTTTATGGTCTATTTACATATGATTTCATACCTGAAATTGGAGAGGTAATTTAACTTAGCATTTCAGAGAGGATACAAATATCTTCGGCTTCAAATTAAATGCAAATTTAACACTAAGACTCAGTCATATATAAATAAACTTTATTAATAAAAATGAGTAATTAATCTCCAGAACCAGAAAAACAATCAGATGAGTTATCCAGGCTCAAACTAAGTTTGATGATGAAGGATAATGAAATAAGAGCATTGAAGTTAAAAGTTAATCCAAGCGACGAAATTGAAAGGCTTCAGCAAGAAGCTGAAAAAATGAAGGAGACATACGAGTCCGAAATCAATCTTCTCAAAGAAGAAAATTACGAATATTCAGAACTCTTGAAGGAAACTCAAGACTAGGCTGAATATCTCAAATCCGTTGTTATATGCAAAGACAAAGAGATTGCAGAACTGAAATCTTAAAATGCCAATGATGAAATTGTAAAATCAAGATCCAGGAATGGAGAATTGTAATTGGCATTAGCAGAAAATGCCAATCTAAAAAACGAATTGTAAATTTTGTAAACCAAGTTGGATGACGCATATCTTAGTAAGTAAGTTATGGATGAACAACTACAAAGTTTAGGATAGATGTTGGAAATAGAACAAAGAAATACTTTGAATCAAGCTAACTAAATTAGTACACTATAGAAGGAAGCTTAATATTTGAGAAATTCTGTTAATGATCGAGAAAGATTTATAGTAGGCAAAGAAAAGATCATCAAATTAAAAGATGGAGAAATTAATAGATAATAAGAAATCATCAATGACACCCTTGCTAAATTGGCAGAAATGTAGCACGATAACTAAGTTATTGTTACATAGAATGACCAATATTATAAACTACTTTAAGAGAAGCAGGCAGAAATAGATTCCCTCAAAGATCAATTGTAATTCTTTGCTGAAGATTTGTAAAGAGTATAAAACTATGAAGGACAATTTAATGATGCTCAAGCCAAAATTAAACAATTGGCTTAATATATATAAGAGCTAGAAAAGTAATTGTAAGATCAAATGAATTAATATGAAAAACAAATCAAAGAATTGGTAAATAATGCTAAAGCAACTGAAGATGAAAAAGATCAAACTATAGATTAACTTGAGAAGGACATTTCTAATAAAGCTAATTAACTGGAGACATAGAATAAATAAATATCATAATTACAAAAAGAACTTAAAGATGCTGATAATAAGAAAGATAGAGAAGTTAAAGATGTTCAGAGGAAGTTGGATGCAGAACTTAAGAAAACTGCTACCTTGGAAAAAAATAATAAGACATTGAAGGATAAAAATGATGAATAGGCAAAATAGATTAATGATGCCAATCAAGAGTTGGATCAATTAGATGAAAAAATTGCTGAGTTAGAATAAAAGGTTAAAGATTAATAGAATTAAATTAAAGATCTTGAAAAAGAAATCAAAGATTTGAATAAAGAAAAATAAAGTTTAATCTAAGATAATAATAATTTACATCAAAAGTATAATTAAGCAGAAGAAAAGGCTTTACAATAATAAAAGGATTTAGCCAAAGCCCAAAAAGAACTAGGCGATAAACACAATGATGCAGAGTAATTGAATAAGGATTTGGATGAATATGAACAAGAAAATAAAGAATTATAAAAAGAAATTAATTAATTAAATGATTCAATTAATTAATTAAACAAAGAAATTAACTAAAAATAGAAATAAATAGATTAACAAGCTAAAGATATTTAAGAATTATAAGAGAATTTAGAAAAACAAAAGTAAGACAATTAAAGTAAACAATAAGAAAATGAATAATTACGATGAGATAATAATGATTTAGATGAATAATTAAATGAATCGAAAAAACAAAACTAAAAATTATAAGATTAAATTAACAATACTGAGTAAAAGTAGAATAAGACTTAAGATTAATTGAAAAATTAATTATAGGATGCTTAAAATGAGATTAAATAGTTGAAGGATTAAATTAAAGAACAAGAAAAAGAGAAGAAAAATCTATAAAATGAAGTTAATAATCTCAATAAGGAATGTGATGATCTAGATGCAAAACTGTAATAAAAAATAAAAGAATAACAAGAAAACTCAGAAATTAAAAGACTCAATGATGAATTAAATAAGGCCTAATAACAATTAAAATAAAAAGAAGATTAATTAACTAAAGCGTAAAATGAATTAAATAAGTTGAAAGAGTAGAAATAAAAAGAACAAAAGGACTAAAAAGATAAGGATTAATAAAGAAAGGACTTAGAAAAATAAGTAAAAGATTTGGATGCAGAATGTGATTAATTAGATTAATAGAGATAAGCAGCTGTTAATGAAGCTGAAAAACTAAAATAAGAATTGTAAAACTTGAATGATTTGAAAAAGCAATTAAAAGATACCTAAAGCAAATTAGCTTAAGCAGAAAAATAAATTGCTTAATTAGATCCAGAAGCAGTTAAAAATAAAATATAAAAAGCCGAATAAGATGCTAAAAATGCCATTTAAGCATAAAGTCAAGCAAAAAAAGATTTGGATAAAGCTAATAGTCAACTGAAATAGAAAGAGAAAGAAAATAAGGATTTAGATGATGAATGCAATTCTCTTGATGCTCAAGTATAGAAGCTCAAAGAATAAGCTAAATAATAAGAGGATGATATTAAAGAAAAATAAAAATAAATAGATCAATTATAGAAGGAAAATCAGTAATTGAAAAAAGATGATATCAAGGGAGAAATTGATAAATTAAGAAAGTTTATTTAAGAATAAAAACCAATACTTGATAATTTAGAAAAAGAATCTACATAAAGTGATAAAAGAAGATCAGATTTAGAAAAATAGATAGCCAAAAATCAAGAGGATTTAAATAAACTTAAAAAGAAAAAGGGAGGCAATGAAAATGATGATGAATAAATATAAGGTTTAGTTTAAAAACTTGATGAACTAGATAATCAATTATAATAAGAAGTGGACAAATATATAGAATCTGTTTCAAACATTGAAAAAGTGCTTACAGGTATTTATTGTATGTAATAATTTAAGACATTACTGAAAAACTATTAAAATTAAAACTTTAAATAAATGAAGTGCAAGAAGAAGATGGATAATAATTTAATGATGTGTTTTAGGTACATATCTAAAATATTATTTAGCTTGTTAAAAATCTTTGTAATGATTACAAATAAGGCTTAGCAACTCATAATCAAGCTATGGAAGATCTTTTAAAGTAAATAAATAAGTAATTTTGAATTTTATTTGATTTAACATTATAATTTATATATATCAGTTCTAATTTTTTCAAAAATTTAATTATTTTAATTATTGAACATTTTATTTTTAGTTAAATTGCTTTTATTATGGGTTTTAAATAGGTGGTATTTATGAAGTAGTATTTTGATTCTAAATATTTTGTAAAGGAGAGAATGATGTCTAAATATTCCTAGTTTCAGGATTTCCTCTGATACTGAAACTGTTGGGAGGGGGGAATTGCTAAACAAAGTGATTTTATCTCTGTCTTGAAGTAGATCTAGATTTAGGTTTCAAGGATTCCAAAACTTAATCGATATTATATCGTTTTTAAGCATCTACTTTCAACATGTTTTTTAAAAGCTCCCTATAATCCGGTTCAATATACAATTAATTGATTAGCATTTCAATACCATTATCTGTAATATTTAATATTGCATTTGTTATATCATTGATTGTTTTACCTTAAAACATCAACTTTTTCGTCAGTATTTCATAGATTAGAACTCCAAAACTCCAGATATCACATTCTTTAGAATATGAATTCTTATTGTTACTTATTACTTCTGGAGCTAAATAATAAGGAGTTCCAACTTATTTGGTAACCAATTTTTGAGTATTTTTAACAACCCCGAAGTCACAAATTTTATATACCTATTAAGATTACTATTCTGAAAATATAGTCTAAATTAATATATTTTCAGGCTTTAAGTCTCTATGAGCCAAACCCATCTCATGTAATTCTTTAATTCCTGAGGCAATCTATTTAATAATATATCGAATATTTTTTTAGTCAATTTTATTCTACTCAAGAGCATCATACAATGAAAAATCCCCTAGTTCCATAACAACATATGAAAATCTACCAATTTATTAAAAGTCGTAGATTTGAATTAAATTCTTGCATTTTTTAAAATTTTGTTGGACTAACTGCCCATAAAATTCTAATTCTCCTTCTCCAAAGTATTCCTACTTCTTAATAGCATAAAATTAGTTTTAATATTATGCTTTGTACACTTTTCCTGCAGCTCCTTTACCTAGTTCAAATAACAAATTGTATTGTTTATTGTTAATTGTAACATTTTATATCATCTTAAAAAAAATAATTAATTAAACAAATTAATGAAATTAGGGACTTGTACAGAGTGGTTGTTCTTTCATATATGGAAAAAAAACCCTAAAACTGGGCATAGCTGTGATGGAATATTTGTAGCAGATTCAGTAATTTATAGATGGGCCCAACCATACTTTCGTAACTACTATTTAAAATTTTAAGGATATTTCACTGTCTAGGATGGTTAAGTAATAAGGAAGACTAAAGAGAGAGTATTCATAGATCAAGTTGAAAGTTCATTTAAATAAGATAATACAGCAGCCTAATTAATAACTAGTCAGGTATAATAATAATATTCTATGCAACAGATGCAAAACAAATAATAAGAGATAATTACATTTGAGTATTTAGATTATGAGAGTTTTAAAATATTTCTTCATTAGAGAGAAAAGGACTTAAATTTAGTACTATAAAAGTATTAATCCCTTATTTATGAGGTTTATTTATCCAAAAAATGATTAAAACTCTATGATTAGGGTAACATGGTCTCCTTAATTTTGCTTAGTCATGAGGAAAACAAATATCAATAAAATGAATGACATGAAGAAGACTTAAGTTGAAAGAGTTGCTACGTTTGATGGACCAGAATATTTGATATAAGCAGATTCAATCAATTCTCCTTTATTAAGTGCAGATTTAGAGTAGTTATGTGTGAATATTGTGAAACACATTTTAGAAGTATCAGGAGGGAACATTTAAATAATAAGAATGGTCTTATATTTTAAAGTTGATTATGAAAATAGAATATGGTTGCTTTTTTGTACTAATATTAAAGTGAAGGATAAGTTCAATGATATTGTGCAACAACCAAGAGTGCTTTCTCCTATTTTTAGGGTTTTAAGGAAAGACTAAGAGCCAGTTTCCTTTGCAAAAGATTAGGCTTAGACTGTTATCAAAATAAATAATCAAGGGGAAATGCAATCTCTTCTTTATCAATTTAAAAATATCTGTAGTAATTGCGATAGATTTTCTCATTAACTATATTAATTGAAATTGCAGTTTATCATTGAAAGTTTTAAATAAGTATAAATTTTAAATTATAAGAATTTAGTAAAGAAAGACTTTACTAGATTACCAGAAGAATTAGAAAAGATTAAATAGAAATAAGATTTATAGATTCCTAAAGTGACTTATAATAGAAACATTAAAATGAGACAAAAATAAAATCTTAATGAGGGTAAGAGTTAGTTTTAAATTTAGAATTTGAAATTTAAAATGAATATTAAAATAATAATTAACCGGCTGATATTTTAATAGAGAAAAAGAAAATCTGCCAAAATAAATTAACAGAAGATGAATTGTATACATAAATTAAAGAACTCGTCTAATTATTAAATGATGAATAAGAAGATTAAAAATTCAATTTTAATCATATTCCTCCATTAATTCTCAAAGTTTGGGGTAAAATTAATGAAGAAAAATATTAATAATTACAACACAATTAAAGTTGGAAAGATTTAACAACCTAAGTTTGCCTGGATTGTTTTTTACAATATACCTAATGTTGTGAATAAACCTTGTTTGAAAGAAAAGCGTAACAATTTAGTTTATCAATTTTAGAGAGATCATGTCTTAAAAATTAAGAAAGATAGTCAATGCAAAAGAAGAGAATGAAAAAGAAAAACTACTTTTATCTACTAAAAATTTGAACGTCAATAGAACAACCTTTAATCAACTACCTAATCTACCATCCATCTCGGAATTACCATTGGAAAAATAAAAAAGGTTGTCTAGAAAATCTTAAAATATAACAAATTAAGAAATTGGGACCAAATAATTCGAACAAACTCCTCAAAAGCTTTCATAACCATCTGATTCAACAACAAAAAAATTACAATAAACTCATCAATCCAAATAATCTGATTAATCTAATTAATAACTTCCATAAAATGTGATTCCTAGTACAACTTTATCAAATAAATATTTTTAATTATAAAGGTAATCTTCGAGTCAGATAAATCAAATGAAAATAAAGATTCCAAGTACTTAAAGAGTATAATCTATTATTATTGTAGATATATCTTAATAAGTAAGGCTTAAATATGTCTACAAATAAATCTATGTAATCAAAATCATCAAGATCTACTTTAGATTAATCAAAAGTCTCTTTTGATTTTATGATAAATACTGTGACATAATTAAAGCGGAAACTTGAAGAACTTGAATAGGATGAAAGATAATTAGAATAAGAAAAACTGTGAACTTTGAACTTTAAATATACATCATAAATTGTTATTTTTAAATTATTAAATCTTTAGTTTTATAGATTCAGTCAAGAATTTATTTAACTCTTGATAGTAATTAATATATGAAAATAAAGTTATCTTCTATTTGATAAACATTATTAATTTTTTCATTAATTTATCTTTCTAATTTGATTCATTTTGAATTAAAGTTATTTTATTATTACTTCATCCATTAATTACACAACTTAATCTTATTAGCATCCTTTTTCTATCATAGTGCACAATTATTCAATTAGGTTTTAATCAAATAGCAAACATCTTAATCTAACTTTATTTCGAATATAACTATTAGATTTTATTTAGCTTGCTTGATTTTACTCTAATTAGCTTGGCCGATTCTAAATTATTTGTTGGGACTGATCTGAAATTTTATTTTAGTTTTGATCATATTTTTGCTACTCTTAAATTATTTATTTTGGCTGATCTTCAATTTTTTTTTAACATTGAACTGAATTTTCTGTTTAATATTATTGATTTTAAGGTTATTTTTCATCGTTTTTATCTTAAATTTAAGCTAAAATCTTATCTTAATTTGGACTAAAAATTTTTTAATTTTACTCCATAAATTATTTTTTTTTTTACTAAAACCAAGGTTCATTAAGTTAAATAAGGATTTATTCAATAGATGGTCTTGCTTTTGGAAAATAGGATAAGCAACTCTTTGCAATATCAAGAAGTAGTGGATCTTTAACATACACCATAAGCTTTTATTGCAAAAATAAACCACTTTTAATTTGGTCAAATATTTAAGATATTTTAAGTCCAAAAAATAATTATTAATTGGAATAGAAATCAAAAATGAGTGCTCCAAATGCCCAAACATCAACAGACTTGTCGTATTCTGCTTTCTATTGATTAGGATCTATTAATTCTGGAGCCATATAATAAGGAGTTCCGATATTAATAGTGTTTAGGTTTTCTTATATTTTAGACAATCCTAAATCGCAAATTTTGAATAAAAATTGATCATTATTAAAAATCTATACAAGTATATTTGAAGGTTTAATATCCCGATGAATAATATTCAATTAATGGATTTCCCAAATACCAAAAGCTATCTGCTTTAGAGAGACACATAATTACCTAAAATAACATAAACTTCTTCTATTCGAAAGTTAGTTTAAAATGATTTTAATTCAAATATTAATAAAGATCTCCAGTATTACAAAAATCCATTACAACACAAAAATAATTAAAAAAGTCCTTTTTGTATTCAAATTATTCATAAGTGTTGATAACATTCTAAAATTTGATTTCCTTGATTTAACTAGAAATAATAAGGATCCTTACTTGTTCATTGCTTTTTCAGAATTTGATATATTACTTTAAAGTTTTAAAGCATAATAATTGTTATTTTCATCTACTACAACATACACTATTCCAGTTGCTCCTTGACCGATTTTTTTAATAATTTTATAATTTTTAATAACCTCCTGCATTTTCTATTAAGTTAAAAAAAATAAATAAAATTATTCATTATAAATTCAAGATATTCGGTAATTATTTATATATTTTATTCATTTCTTAATGGGTTCTTGTTAATGTAAATAGCAATCAAAAGAAATAGAATGCGATGTAAAATTTGTCAAAACTCATGTAGGAACATCGATAACCTTATAAAGACATCTATGAAGGTACTCAAGGTTGCTTAAGTGATTATGAATTGATTCAACCTCCTTTGGGAGAAGGAGCATTTGGAGTGGTTTGGAAAGCAAAACATAAAGCCAGCGGGTAATTTAGAGCAATAAAGCAAATAAATAGCAAACACTCTGAAGAATATCAAAATATTATCAATGAAGTTAACATATTGAAATCGCTTGTAAACTAAAAACTAAGTTTAGGATCATCCAAATATAATTAAGATTTATGACTTTTTTGAAACTAATTAGAAATTATACATAATAACTGAACTCTGTACAGGTGGGGAATTATATGATAAATTAATGGAGATTCATAATTTTTCAGAAATTGATGCTGCAAAGATAATGAAACAAATTTTATAGGCTTTAGCTTATTGTCATAATCAGGGAATAGTTCATAGAGATATAAAACCAGAGAATTTATTGTATGAGAGTGAAAAGAAAGATAGTCAGTTAAAAGTTATTGATTTTGGTACTTCAAAAAGAACTACCGGGAAGAATTTAAGGGAAATAATCGGAACAGTAAGCATATTTTAATTTAAAAAGGCTTTCTATATGGCACCTGAGATGTTTTCAGAATAGTATAATGAAAAATGTGATATATGGTCAGCTGGAGTTGTCCTATACATTTTGTTAAGTGGTAGGCCACCTTTTGATGGTGAAACTGATGACGACATCTTTGAAGCAATAAAAAAGGGAACTTATTCATTATCTTCATCGTAATGGTTAAGTGTTTCTCCAGAAGCCAAATAATTAATTCGAAAGATGCTCGAATATCAAGAATCTAAACGATATTCAGCATAAGAGTGTCTCAATGATCCTTGGATACTCTAATACACGAAAGATGAAGTCAAAGCCCCAGTACTCGAAAGTGTCTTAACAAACATGAAGACATTTAGAGTATTTATAATTGTAACTTATGATAGACTACTTAAAGAATTCAAGAAGCTGCCTACATGTACATAATAAAGCAATTTACTACCAAGGAGGAGAAAGAAGAATTGCTTAAGACTTTTTAAAGTTTGGATAAGAACTCAGATGGGGTTTTGACAAAGAAGGAATTAATTGAGGGTTATATTAAGATAATGCCTGAATCAGAAGCCGTTTTACAAGTTGAATAGATTATGCAAGCAGTTGATAAAAATCAATCAGGAATTATAGATTACTCTGAATTTGTGATGGCAACTATCAATAGAAAAACTGCCTTAACTTAGGAACGATTAGAATAAGCATTTAAAGTCATCGATAAAGATAATAGTGGAACTATTACAATTGAAGAGTTGAAACAAATGTTTTAGTCTGGAAATAAACTTCCTTAAGAAACTTGGGAGACTTTGATGTCAGAAGTGGATAAAAATGGAGACGGATTGCTTTCTCTTAAAGAATTTAAAGATATGATGCTTCGCTTAATCTGAGAATATAAAACATTAAAATTAATTTATAAAAATTAATGTCACGACCAGAATCACAATTACCACCAAATTTAGTAAATATCATAATCTATTCATTCTCTAGTACTATAATCAATAGGAAAGTGTTAAATATACTAATTGTAATAGAATTATCAACATTCAAACCTAATTAAGCGAAAGGGCTATCTAATTATTAGATCTAAATCCTGATGAAAGTAGTTTAGTACTTGACATTGGATGTGGTTCCGGAATCTCAGGGTTTTATCTAACATAGGAAGGAGTGAATTGGGTAGGATTAGACATTTCAGAATCTATGCTGAATGTGGCATAATAGGAAAAGACTGAGGGGGAATTATTGCTATGTGATATTGGTCAGGGTTTCAAATTTAGACCAGGTGTCTTTGATGCTGCTATTTCTATTTCTGTCATCTAATGGCTTTGTGTGAGTTTCAAAAAATCAGAAAACCCATACAGAAGATGCACTGTTTTCTTCGAATCACTTAGAAATTGTTTAAAAAACAATGCAAGGGCAGTTTTCCAATTCTATCCTGAGAACAACGAATAAATAAATATGATTACTAGTGCCGCTTTAAGAGCAGGTATTCTAAAGAAGAGTTATTCAATTAGGTTTTAGTGGTGACATTGTTGTTGACTATCCTAATTCTGCCAAAGCCAAAAAGCTTTATCTTGTTGTACAACTAGGAGGATAATCATCCAAAAAGACTATGGATGTTATTTAAGGACTAGTAGAAGAATCTGATGAGGAAAAGGTTAAAGTTATTGGAAGACATTAAAAAAAAATTAGAAAATAAAAAAAGTAAAAGAAAGTAAATGAAAAATCTAAATTGTGGATTGTGAAAAGAAAAGAAAAATAGAATAGATTAGGTAGAAAAGTTAAAAAGACAACCAAATATACAGGAAGGAAAAGAAACAACCTTGGTTTATTCAAATGATGTATTTTAAATTATTTTATTTAATTTTATATATTCTGATAAAAGATGATGCATGGTTAATCTAAATCAAAGACTGAAACATTGTCTGAAGAAGAGATAAAGCAAAGAGCAGAAAAAGGACAATAGATATTGGATTCTTTACACTATTTTTTTAAAGTGAGAAAAAATTAAGTGAATCAACCCGAAGATCAATTGGCTTTTTCAGAGCTTATGGCTAAGTTGTGTCCTGAGATTGCTACTATTTATAATTACAGAAGAGAAGTACTTTAAACAAAATTTGATCACCTTGGAGGATTACTTAAAGAATCAAAAAGCATAGATGCATATAAGCAATTACTCAAATTGATTTAATCTGAGTTTATGCTCATAGCTATATTGCTAAAATAACATCCCAAATCATACACTCTTTGGACTCATAGATAATGGATGGTATTAAGAAGCTAAGAAATAGATTCGCTCATTAATTCAATGTATTTAATAAATCATATTATAAAGTAATCAAGATGACTAGTTTAAATTGATAGAAGCTATTAGACAAGAATACGAGTTGTGTAGCAAAATGTTGGATAGAGATGAACGTAATTTTCATGTCTGGAATTATAGAAATTGGCTATCATCAATTAGTGCATTTGGAAAGGAAGATGAGTTCACTAAGAAAAAAGTATATTTCATTATAATTATTTAGATTGAATAAAATTTTAGTAATTTTTCAGCTTATCATTTCAGAAGCAAATATTTTATGAAAAATTATAATCAATCTGAGAATATCCTCGAAAGAATTAAAACTGAATAAATCTTAGGATTATTGCCTTTGCCTTTTAATAGATTGAAAGAAGAAACTGAACTAATTTAATAAGCAATTTATATATAACCTAAAGAACATGGTGTTTATTTATATCATAGATGGCTAGCCGGAGTTGTTCAACCTTATGGTGTAACAAAAGTTGAAAAAGTTTCAAATAATTCAATCACATTATCGTTTAATAGAGCTGTTACTAATGTTGAGAATACTTTTGAAATATTCAATAAGGAAAATGCATTAAAGATAATTAATGTAAGAGTGGAAGGCAGCAATGCCATTATTTCCTTTGAAGAACAATAAGTTGATAACTTAAAAATAAAGATACATAATTAAATTTATGAAAATGGGTCTCTTGAAACAACAATGAGTGAAGATGAATCCTCAAAATTCCTGATTCCAAGTGAAATAGATATAACAATTAATAATGAAGGGTTTACATTTACTAATACTACTTAAAAAGAATTTTAGGATGCTACCTAAGAGATTTATAAATATCTTGATGAAAATATTGATTTCATTAAGTAAGTTATTGAAGAAGAAAAAGAGAACAGGTAATTTTTAAATTATAAATTAGATTCCCATATATTCAATTATTATACTTGTTGTAATTCAAACTTCGTACTCAAAGATTGATTGATGAAAGCAAAACTAGTGAGATTATTAAGGAAGCCCTGCAACATTGCTAATAATTGAAGAAGATTTAAAATGATCACCAAGCCCAATTTCTTTATGACTTTTGGAGTTAATTTTGAAGTTATTAATTGTTAAAATTTGAATTCAATTTCTATATGCAACAACAACGAAGCAATTAAGGTTAACAAATCTTCTAAAATGATGTCATGAATCAAAACATCAATCCCAACGATTTCATGATGTAGAACATGATGAAAATGTTTTAACAGCAGATGATGTAGATGATGCAAAGCCAAACATCTGGTAATTGATTTGCTTATGTTTAGGCTTTGATTTAGAAAAATTTTACCAGAACAAAGTATGTGACATGAATTAATTCTATAATCAAATGAAACCAGAAGAAAGCTAATTACAATAATCTTCGCAATTCATCAACACTTATAATCCTAACAAATATCAAGAAGTAAGCACTAATTTTAAGGAGGAAACCAATGTGAACACTAATAGATAATTACATTTTGATGATATTTAAATAACTTAGAATTATAGAAATGAGTTTCATGATTATAATTTACCAGAAAATGACTATTTTAATTAATATAAAAATAAATAAGACCAAAAATAACGTTAACAAAGACAATAAGAATAAGGAGAATAGAAATCAACTAAATAATAATTATCAAATTTTGATAAATCAGATTACGATGACAATTACATTAAATCATAAAAATAATAATAAAAAAAAGCATCGGCTTTTGATGATATGCCAATACAACAATCCAACCATGATTAACAATAAATCAAATCCAATTTAAAAAAAAATCATCTATTTTAATAAGATGAATGTGATTTTCGATAACAATCTAATCCATTTGATGAAATGCCTATAAAACCAATGAAAAACAATAATAATTTTGATGATATGACCTTCCAAAATAAAAAACAAGATGATTATACCAAAAATTAGTAAGATGAAATGCAATATTATTAAAAATAATAAAAATAATTTGAGGATCAATCCAATAAGAAAACAAACTATTCAAATCCTTTTGATGAAATCCCAATCTAGACACAAAAGCAAAATTAAAATACTTTTGATGATATACCAAGAAAACCCTCAAAGAAAGGATAAGATGAGTAAGTAATTAAGAATAAGAAAAATGCATTTGATGAAGTACCAATTAAATCGACAAAAAATTAAACATTTGATGACATCCCTATTAAAACCTCTAAAGGAGGTTTTGATGAGGTTCCTATGAAAACAAATAAAAATACATTTGATGAGATTCCAATTAAGAAAAATAAAAACTCAGCATTTGATGAGGTTCCTATTAAAACAAATAAAAACCTAGCGTTTGATGAAGTTCCTATTAAAACAAATAAAAACTAAGCATTTGATGAGATTTCGGTTAAAACAAATAAAAATACATTTGATGATATACCAATAAAATCAAATAAAAATGCTTTTGATGATATTCCATTAAAATCTAATAAAAACCAAAATTTTGATGAGATGCCTCCAAAAAATAATTTTAAAAAACCTCTTGAAGAGGTTAATTTTGATGAGTAAGGTCGTGTCAAGAAGAAACCCTTCTTGAAAAAAGGAACTAGATAATTTTTATCAAATGCTTAACAAAGATCTGATATTGCTAAGAAAGAACATGCAGAAATTTTAAAAGAAAATAATGCTTCAGGAACTTTACCTATATAAAACTAAATCAATTAAATTAAACCTTAAAAAATATAGTAATAACAATAAAAAGTTGAATTTAAATAGGAATAAAAAGAACCCTAATAAAGACCAAAAAAATAAGAAGTACCAAAGGAATAAGTTAAATAATAACAGCCTAAACAATAATAATAATAGTAATAACAGTAATAATAATAATAAATATAATAAAAATCAAAATAAAAAGAAGAATTTGATAATCATCAAGATTCATATTAAGAATATTAATTTGACGATAATGAGGACTGGAATGATGAACCTCCTAAATAATCAAAGATTGCAAATTCATACTTTGGATTAAAGAAAGAAAAGGACGCAAGAGAGAAAAAATAAGAAAAACCTTAACCATAAGAAAATGAGGAGGAAATTGTCAGGAAATATGTTTAAGATAAGATTGATAATTTAAATGCAGAAATTGCTAAGTTCAAAAGCGAAAATGAAAAAGTTAAGAAAGCTAAAGTAAAATGTGATGATTAATTGAAATAATTACAAAGAGAGAGAGAAGAGTGGGAAAAGTAAAAAGAAATAGAAAAACTTGAATTAGAAGAATGGAAGGAAGAAGAGAAAAAGAAAATGCTTAGAGAAAAAAGAATTCAAGATAGGTAATAAAAAACTATTTAAAATTTGCCTAATAGAAAAGAGAGAGAAGAAATCGAGTCCTTAAAGTAATAAGTACAAAAATTAACAGAAGAATAAAAGCAAAAAGATTAGAAGAATAAGCTATCTTATGATAGATTAAAGAAATAAAATGAAGAGCTCTCATAAAGAAATTAAGAATTATAAGCTGAAGTTAAAGCATTAGAACTTAGGCTTCTAGAATAAAAGCGACCAAACTCTTAGGCTACAATTTAATAAAGCAAATCACAATAAATTTAATTGAAATCTAATGCATCTGGTCTTTCTTAAAAGAAAGAAGTTCCTTTATAAAATAATAGAGGACAAAGTCCAACAAGTTTTGGAGAGGATTTATCAATAAAAAATAAGCAATCAATAAAAGAATATAATAAACAAAATTCATATAGAGATGATGATTATGATAATGAAAATGAAGAGGAATATTAAAATGAAGACAATAGTGATGATGATTAAGCGGATAATGATGAGGAACAAGATTAATAGAGAAGAAAAATTTAATAATAAAATAGTAAGAAATATGATTTAATTGAAATGTAGAATGAGGGTATCCCATTTACTATAAAAAATATTAATAGTTTGATTTCTGAATAGGAATTTAACTATGACCAAAATCGTTATTATCAAAATTATAAAAAGAATAAGGATGTTCCTTCAAAAATAATTTCTCAAAATGTTGGACCGGATGGTAAAATATCAAGATAATATTCTAATGGTAAAAAAGAGGTAGTTTTCCACAATGGAGTCAAAAGGGAAGTATTTCCTGATGGATATGTTATTGTCCACTTTACTAATAAAGATCTAAAGTAGACTTTGCCTAATGGAACAGTAATATATTACTTTGCAGATGCCAGTACAACTTAAATTACAATTTCAAATGGACCAAATGTATTATATTTTGATATATTTAAGATCTACAGATTTTCTAATTAATAGATTGAGATTCATCTTAACGACAGCACTAAGGAAATTCGATTTGGGGATGGAACAGAAAAGTACATAAATGCTAGCGGGGAAGAGTAGACATTTTTCAGTGATGGAATAATATAAAAAATTAATAGTTAAAAAGTAAAGTAAATCGAATATCCAAATGGAAATGTAGATATAATTTATCCTGATGGCTAGACATAGAGATAGTTTAGGAATTGATTAATTATATTTGGCGCTCATTAATTTAATTTATATATGAATTAGTGCAGAATTAAACACCATGATTGTCAGAAAGTTAAATACATCTGCTTAGACAAAAAATGTAACCATGAATAAAAGATAGGTACTACATGTATGTTAAAAGTAGGTTGTGCTGATTGTTTTTTGGAATTTCATGTACCAAATGATCTGGTTTCTCATCAAAGAAAACTAATATCAGAGTTTGAGGCTGAATTGAAAGGCAAAATAGAAAATCTGTCTACCATATCAATTTAGTCGATCAACAACAATTCTGAATAAGTGGATAAATAATTTGATACTTGCATGAATAATCTCATCTAGAAATTGACAGATTACAAAGATTAAATTAAGGAAGAGATAAGAAATGAAAAGTTGGATTTTGTAACTTATGTCAATGAATTTAATTAAAAAGTGGAATAGAAGATTGATTTGTAAAATACATAAATATCACAATTATCAACTAATGAAATTAATAAATCAATTTCCTTTTATTAGAATTCAAATAATATTGTTCTTGACTTTAGAAAAGATTTATCAGATCTAGAATTGCATAAAAAGAAACTAAATCTAAAAAAGTAAAAAGCAGTCTAAAAGTTAAGAAATACTTTTGAACAAATAATGAAAGAACTTGATGATCATAGCAACGGTTGTAATAGTAATAATAATAATAATAGTAATAATAATAATAATAATAATAATAATAACAATAGTAATAATAATAATAATAATAATAAAAAAAATAGTAACAACAATAACCATAATAATGTTTCATGCACGCCTGAAAAATAAATTTATCCCTCTTAATTGAGTAACACTACACAGTCAACCCCAACAAAGAATGTTGTGGATGTTGCTCGATCTAAAAAATAAAGAAAGGGGAAGAATTGATTTTTACAAATAACTAAAAAAATAATATTATTTCATTTCTTATTAGGATATATAAGTGTATTGATAAATCGATATTTTAATCTTATATCTTAAAGTAAATTCTATCAATATTTAATTCCAATCAAATATACTATCATAAATAAATTGTAAAAATAATATTGCTAAAACTCGTTTACACACCATATTTAACAATTATAATTTATATCTTAATGAGACCGCCATTTATTTATGAAATTACTATGCTGATGCTTTTTTATATTAGATGAATGATATATATAGAGTATAATCTAAATACAAACAAATCATGAATTAATTATCATGTCTAAAATTTAATAAATCACTTATTGTCTAAATCTATTTCCATAATTTAATTAATGACAATTACTTAACACACAACTTCTTATTAATTTCATCTTTTTCTTATAGAATAGTTCTGTCTATTATTTAAAAATTTTTTCCTTAAAATTTTGTGGATCTTATTAAAGGATAATATTTTGAAATTCATTAATATTTATAAATTTTGAAGCATTGCTATGAAATAGAGAAAGCGCTTGCTTGAATCTATAGTTTAGATTCTCTTCTTTAGTTTCCATTAAATAAATATGATTCAAATAAGGGTTCTTGATAGAATTAATAATTTAAGAGTTAAAGTTATGCAAATCTTTGATATTCTAAATTTCATTAAACCTTATGTTCAAGTAAAATAAATTCAAATATGATAATTATTAGATAGACCTAATAATTCTATTTAAGAAAGATTCATTAATAAGAATTTCATTATTTTATAAATCTAACTATAATATATCAAATACTTACTTGAAGATACATAAGTTATTATAATTCACCAATTTAATTAAAATAAAATAAGTAACTTGAAAGATTTAGTAAAGATTAATTTCTTACATAAAATTTAAGTTTTTTAAGTTCCTTAAAGTCAACAATAGTTTTTAAAACAATATCGAAGTTGTTTGTATCACATAAAATTGAATCAAAACATATGGAAAGAGTTTACAAAGATTTTCTAAGTTACCATTACTTTTATAAGAATTCAAATAATTTCCCATAATTAGCAAATTTTCTTTCCACATTTTCAGCAGTATCTAAAAATTATAACAATCCTTAAATTGGAGTGATTTTCCAAGAAATACTCAAATACATTTTTTAACTTTCTGTGGTTATTACTATTGATGTATTCTATAATAATTACATGTATTAATTTTCATTTATTTATAATCGCTTGAACTTTAAACACAGACAGGATCATTTTAGATTCTAAATTCTTAAAATTTATAATCTTTCATTGTATTCATGAATAGATTCAATAAGTAGAATGATTTCCACTAAGTAGTATCTAAATCAACAAAAGTTCCATATAATCTTAAATGATTTAGTGTAACGCTAATTTTTGAATTAAAAATTGAATTGTATGCTCCATTTTCGGTTTAAGTAAATCGAGCATCAATATTTCTTAAACTGGGAAAATTTTCAGCATTTTCACCAATTTCATCTAGGTTATCAATGTTGTTGCACCATTATAAAGCAAAAGTGTTCAAAAAGGGCCATTTTAGTTAACATAAGTTGTAAATACCTTAATTATCAATTTTAGTATAGCTTAAATCTAAATTCTAAATGTTTTATATGCCTTGGAATAAATAATCAATAGAAAGTGTGGTCATTGATGGGCAATTAAGTTTTACTTATATTAAATTTTGAAAACATTTCGAAAGTCCTCCTTTTTCCTTAAATATTTTAAATTAAGTATCTGCCACATCCACAGTTTCTAATTTAAGTTCTTCTAAACTGCTTAAGGGATATTTAGTTAAACTGCGAATCATCTTTTCATTAGGATTATCAATGTTGATTATTTCAATTTTTTTCAAGTTTTTACTGTTATAACGCAAAGATTACTTATATTCCTTATAATCCATAGTATTTTAATAAAATATATTTTGCTATAAGTTAATTATATTGAATACTAAATTATGGAGAGATTTTGTAAGGGTTGTTGATTATTTACTTTAATTAACTTTAGATACTTTAGTTGATTTCTCTTAAACTTCTTCATCCTTATCATCATTAGATAATATTTAATCAAATAAGGTTGGTTATTAAGTTTAAGTTGTTCTTCTCATAATAAAATATATTAAATAATCATTTATATTTATTAATAGCTTATCTTGATAATGCTAAAGCTGAATTTATTCTATTTTTGAGCTCTTGGCTTTCCTAGAACTCATCGACAGTTGAATTTCTTGCATTAGGATCTAAAATAATTGGTGGCGTAGGTAATGGTTGTATCATATAATCCTGTAATTACGGAGCTTACTGTTCCTTTAATTTAGGCTAAGGTGCTAGGTTCTTTAAATTATTTAATTATTATTAATAAAGAAGTATTTATTGTGATTGTTACTCAATTAATAGTTGTTATTATTGTTATTATTATTATTATTGTTGTAATAATTATTATTATTATCTTAATTATAATTGTAAATGCTATTAAATTTATTACTCTCTTAAAATCTACTCCTATCTTAAACGATCTGCTTCTTGCTACTTAGGATTATTGATAGGTAAATATTAAGGAGGAACTACTTATGATTATATCCTAATAGGAGATGACTGTATTTATTATTGATTATTAGTAATAGGGATGCTTGGTTAAACTAATTCTAAATTTGAAGAATTTGATGGGAATCTATTTTAAAAGATCTTTAATTCTTGTTTAGGAGTGTGAGTAGTTGGCTGCAAATGATTATTTCTTGAGTGTTCTAGATTCTAGGTAACTTCATGTGAGTTCTATGTAATAATATAATTATACTAATAATTCAAGAAAGGTTGGCCTGTCTATTTCTTCATATTATAACATAGTCAAGACTATTCTGACTAAATCAGTCGAATATCCTATATGTTAAACTTCTAATTGTCTCTCCTAAAATATTTATTCTTTAATGTATGGATTATGAAGATCATAATTATAACACTCAAAACTATCCTTTAATGTCATCAACTCCAAGAATGTCATTCCTAATGAAAAAACATCAGACTTTTGAATGTCATGAATTGGAATTTCTAGCTTTTATTTCAAACCTTCCATCTATTAAGGAGATAGCAATGCTTATCCTTTTCCTGTAAGTACAACTTGATATCCACTCATAAGTCTTAAAACTCCTTTGGGAATCAGTTTGATAGAATCGTTTTTATCCAAATAGACCGAATCAGGTTAAATGTGAGTATGCCATTTCTATCTTGCATCGAGAAAATGTAAGGCTAATAATATTTCGTGAAGGCTCTTCCATAATTGTCTTTCTGGAATGTAACTCTTATTTGAAAAATGATGTCCACACACCTATTTTAAGGTTTTATACACAGCCTCATAAAACCATCTGCTCATTTATAAATTCGTAGTTAGATTAGGATCAATACAAAGACCATAGTATTTAACCAGATGGCTATGTTTAAGAAGCATAAGTTATTCATGAAGTTCTAGCAATGGACCTTCATCATCAGTTGCAGTATTCGAATGTCTTTTTTCAAAGATTGTAGCATATTTAGTATTCTCTCTTTTTAATTTATAAAGTTCAACTCGATCGATATGAGGGAAAGATTATCCTCCTAGACTGTCAAATTAATCTTCTAGTGGTTGATTCTAATTGAAAATTGAGTTGTCTGCAGATTTTATGATATATACTTTGTTCCCCATTTTTTCAATAAAATTTTATTTAATACTTAAATTTAGCAGTTGATAAATGAATTACAACAACACAGAGCACTTAAATTAATTGCTTACCCTTTAAATACAGGATACTAGCGAAATCTTTTACATTAATACAGTATACACTCCTTAGCAACTTGGGGAATTATTTTGCTAGTAATTTAGCTTGGATTTAGCAAATGCTAAATTAATAACATTAAAATTATTGAAAATCATCGAATCTGCTTCACATTTACCTCAATATTAATACCTAAGTGAATATTATGAAAGGCATTGTGATAGAAAATGTTAATCAAATATTTAATTCAAATAATCCTATAAATTAGTTGAATTCTTTTTTGATAAACCACAATTATTTGATAGAAATGAACTATTTCAAAGAAAAACTTAATAAAACATCGAAAATATACGATAATAATAGGATTAGGCATTAAGCATTCATTGCACTTTTAATCCACAGTTAAATTACTCAAATAATTCTCAAGATTTCAATAGATATTAGCAACTGTATCAAAAGGGATTGCTTAAATAATTGGAGAGGAATAAAAGCAAACACATTCATGTTGATAAATTAGATTAACTGGATGATAATTGTACATTTCAACCAGCAATTAATTAAAATTACAAATATCAAAAAATAAAGAATGAAAATTTGCCAAGTCAATTGAATTTAATGATTAAAACTCACTTACTAAAATAAAACTTATATTACTATCAACTTTTTCAACTTTTAGATAGCAATAATGATGGACTAATTTCTAAAGATGAAATTGACATCAGTTAATTAAACTAACAAGAAATAAAGTATGAATTTATTTAATAGATAGCCATCTTATGCCATTATTAATGAAAATTGAAAAGGAAGACCTAGAAATAGATTATAATTAATTTATAAAAATATAACTAAATTGATTACTACTATCAAATGAATAATCAAATAATGAAGTCCAAAATCAAAAATTTCTTCATTACATTTATTTAATAACATTTTATTACTTCAAATTAATTTAAGGAATATATTCCACTTCAATCTATATTATTCTTACTAATTCATTGATTCAATAAAATAAAATATACCTAAATTATATAATCCATGCTGAATATTCATGATTAGAAATCTTAGCCATTATTTGTAGAATAAATACAAAATCTGCTGAATCAGCTTTTTTTATTGTAATTTTATGGGAATTTTAATGATTTAATATTTATATTTTGCATAAATATTATAAATTTAATGGGAATTCGCTATTATTTCAATTCCATATATTTGAACAAACATTGCATAATATTTCCATTGATGCAACTAGTTGTAATATTCTGCCTAGTCATATATGTATACTTTTATTTAAACTGATTTTAGTTAATTATTAATAGGAATAATGATTTAATACTACAAATTACAGAATCTCTACTAACTTGTATATTTTTTTTTGAATTACTCGTTAAGATATTCATTCAAAAAGAAGTATTACTAATTTAATAAATAGAATTACCTTCAAAATAACAATAATCTGACTGATCTAATTTTATTTACAACTATTATTTCTCTGATGGTAATCTAGAAAACAATATCGATAAATCTAAAATAAGAACAGGATGAAGAACTGATCTCGATAGCATTATTATTTATTAGATATGTAGTGCAATCCGTGCGGTTGTATATGAACATAAAAATGTATTCTTCTTAATTATAATAGAAATCGATAAACGATTGCTTTTATACAAAATAATGATATTTCATTTACAAATGAGCCTCAAATGCAATCAGCTATCGAAGTTAATTAATAATGATTTATTTATTTTTCATGATTTAATTTTATTCATTTGTCTTCTTCTTCATTGATTCTAGAACAAAATTCATGATAAATTTAAATATAATTTTCCGTGGACCATTTTATGATAAAGGCCGCAAAAAGATATAGGCTATGTAAATTTTAATTAAGTAATCAATTAATTTAACAATTTTTAAGATTCTTCAAATTAAAATAAATCCAACATAATAAATTCAATGATTTTTTAATGTTTTAAGAATTATGAAATAGAAATTTTTATAAAAATAATAATGATTTTTTGGATTGATAGCACTAGCATATATGATTGTAGAACCTATAGTCTCATAAAACCACAGTAATATGATGTTGCTATAATTTTGGATTACATCAAATAGGATTAGTAGTAAAATAGAATTGATTTAAAGGAGAAATTGCCAAAATTATTAAGAACTCTTGCTCTATTGCTTGTCATCCATAATAAAAAAGATATTTTTCGACTTTTACAGATTTTAGCATCCAAAGATTTTAAATACACCAAACTTTATAATGACTTTATGAATAATCCTGCTGCTTAATGGTATATTGAATAGATGAAGGTAGAATAAGTTTAAATGATAATGAATCAATATATTTTAGGAGAGCATAAGTTTCTTGAAGGTTTTTTTCAAAAACTCACCAATTCGTACGAATAATTTATACAGAAATAGCAAAATGAGCAAGGAACTCCTGAATTTAATCAGTAAATAGAAGTGCCATAAAATTAAGATTTAACATCAGCCAATAAAATGAAAGACAAATCTTAACAGAAATAATAATAAGAAAACTAAATAAATTAAAATTAAGGTTCTAAAAGTTAAATTTTGGACTAAAACTATTAAAGAAAAAAGAGTGCTGAAGAAATAAACCTTGAAAAAGATTCATAATCATCTACATTAAAATAAAAGAATGAGATTAAAAGTGCTTAAGATACAAAAAGTTTAAATCAAATGACAAATAAAGAGCCAGCTTAAAAGACAACATAGGATCTTGGATAATAATAATAGTTAAATAAAGAAAGGATATCAAAATCAACTATAGAAATAGAAGATAAGCCTCAACAATAGTAACAACAATAAAATGAATAATAAAATAATAAATAAAAAATAGTTTAGCAGCAATAATCGGGGACAAAAATTTAGAAGGAATAAAATAATCAAGATAATCAAAAAGGACCATATTTTTCAGAACAGCAAAAAATTTCATTAGAATCACTTTGTAAAGATGACAAACCAGACTAAAAAAGTATTTTTTCATTTTATTTTATTTAGTGCTTGAAATGGCGAAAATATTATCAGAAAAAGCTTAGAAAAAGTCAGCCTATTCTCCATTGTAATCTCCTTCGAAATTTAAACCAAATCCAAAACCATTAGAAAAAATAACAGAAAAAGTAGAGAAAAGAGTCAATATAGAATAAAAAATAGCAAAAAAGTTTAACTAAGAACCAGAAAAAATATTCTCATATATTGATACTTTAACTGAGAAGGAATAATAAGATTTCGATTTCTCAGAAGATACAGAATTAATTAAATTATTTGATTTACTAAAAGAGAAATGTGAATAAACTTATTGGTGGTCTAAATTTTAAGATAAATGCCATTAGGCAATGATGGATAAAGAACTTGAGATGATAATGTTTGAAAAATTACCTATATTAATGAAAAGATGGGCAATCAAAACAGGGAAAAATGTTACAGAGATGGAAAGAAATCCTAATAGAAGACATAGAACTCCTATTTAAGAAACAAAGAACACATTATTAGACTATTCAGATCCAGAAGAGATGACAAAAGAAATAATTCATATTCCTTAAACTTCAGAAACATAAGAAAAGAAAAAGTAAAGTTTTGACAATTAAAAAATAGATGAAAAAGCTAATTCAGAATCTAATGAGTTTATCAATAATAATGGGATTAATAAATTATCACAATAGAATGAATAAGTGATAAAATACTAGATTAATAATGAACAAGAAGAGAGCATAAAATAAAATTAGAAAAATCAAATTAAAACAACATCTGAATTGTAATAATTTCAAAATTAGAAATATGCATAAGATAATTTAAATAAGGAAATCAATAATTTTACACCCAGATTTGATGATGATGATGCCTTTAATAATTAGAATTAATCGATTTTGGTTGAGTAAGAATTATTACTCCAAAATGAGATCTAAGAAGTAACTCCATATTAAATTATTGATATTGATGATGAGATATTGTGTAAGAGCTTTCCAGTAGACAACCAAAAGAATTAGTAATCTAAAGTAATTAAAACAGTTGCAAATAGATTAAATTAAGAAATTCCTAATTTTAGATAGCATTAATTTGAAATTCCTAATAAATAATATTCACAATAAGAGAACTCATTCTAGAATAATACAGAAAAGCAAAAGAATGTGATATTTATTGATTCTGCAAATGATGAAATCATATAATGCAAGAAATCACAATTACCAGTACCTCAATAACAAACTATATAAATTACTGAAGATTGCATAGAAATTTTAAATTAACCTATTACAAAGAGTAATATATTTTATCCTCCTATCTAATAAGACTTCAGTTAAAATAATGATGATATTGATAGACTGTTTTAAAATGATAATGATATTTCAAGTCCAGATTCAATGGTAAGTTCATCATCAATTTTGATAAGTGAGTAAAGTAGCATTTAATTTGAAGAAGTTTAAATAAATAAAAACTAATATGAGATTAAGGAGTAAATAAATCCCTAAAAAAATAAGGATATTATAAAAGTACCAGAAAAAGTCTAAGAGAAATAAGATGTAAGAGAAAATAGAGAAGAGGAATAAAAATCTAGGGAGAAAAAAACATCAGAATCAGATATAGAAATCAAAGATAAGTCAAAACATAAGAGTAACAAGAGACAAAGTTCAAAAGATAAAAATGAAAATTAAAAAGCTAAGAGTAAAAGAAAAGATTCTAAAAACGACGAAAAGGATAAAAGCACAGCCAAAAGCTCATCATAAAATAAGGAAAAAGTAAAAGAAAAAGAAAAGAACAAAGAGAGTAAGATAAGAAAAAGCAGTGAAAAAAAAAATAATTAAGATATTTTAAAAATGATGTAAGCAGAGAAAGATGCTAAAGAGAAATAGAAAGAGGAATTGAAGAAGAAGGAGAAAGATAAATTACATTAAGAAAATATCAAGAAAGCTGAATAAAGGCTAGAAAAATTGAGAACAGAAGAAATAGAATTTTAGAAAGAATAAAATTTTCTTTAATAACAATCCAAATTGAATGAGATTGAACCTGGGGAAATAAAACAATATTAACAAAGGAATTAATAATAGCCTTTTCAATAACCACAACAATTACCACAATAACAATAAAACTGTAAGAATTTCATTCAAATTCATGATCAAAATTAAGGATAAAAGTCATAAGAAAGATAAATTTTTGATCCATAAAATGTGAATACTAATTAAAAATATTATCAATACAATTAGTAAATGATATAAAAAGCATAGGAAAGCTAGTAAAACGCCAATCGACCATAATAACTTAATTAAAGTCAGGAAAAATCTGTACCTTACATTCCTGATTAAAAAGGCTAATAAAATAATTGGGAGTATTAAAAAAGTTAGCAAGCAAATTAGTAAAACCTGAATCAATATGATAGATAGCAAAAAAATTAAATTAACCCAACAGAATAAGTTCCTATTTAGTAAAATTAATATTAAAGACCAAATAGTTATGCATTTCCATTAGAATAATATGGTATCTAAGAATTCTTAACAAAAAAAGATTAGGCAATTTAGAAAAGTGCATAAAAGTCAATTGTAAACCCAGTGTAATATGATCTTGCTTAAGCACAACCTCCAATTGCTAATTAAGGGAATTATCAAATGCAACCATAATAGTACCCATAAAACTATCAGTAGGCATAGTTTTAAACATAATAATAATAGTAACCCTTTTAATAATAGTAATTCTATAATTAATAGAAGCCAAGAGATAAAAAATTTAGAAACAATTAACCCCACTAATAAGATTTCTATAGACAAAAGCAATAGTATCCAAATCAATAAGAACCTCACGTTTAAAAATAAAGAAAATACAATCCTAATAATGAATACCATGAAAATAATTAAAGCTTTAATTATATCCCAGGATAACAGCCTAATATGAACATTTAGCCTTACCCTTATCACAATTAAGCGAATGATCATTAATATGCTAATCAGAGTCCATTTCCATTTCCTAATGGTCAAAATTATTCATCAAATTAACCATCTAAACAACAAATGTTTGAATTTTTTTGTTAGATGTTCTATGATAAATTTCAGTAACCAGAATGAATTATTTTATAAATGTTTTTATCAAATTTACAATTAATAAAAAACATATTATCTTATCTCCATGATTATCTATCAGAAATATTTAAATGAATATCTGATAATGATATATAAATTATCTATTATTATAATTCTCATTATGCTAAGGCTAAAGCCACCTTTGTTTTTTAATGATTATCTAATTATTCATTTAATGTAAAGTTTTATGATCTTAAAGCTTCAATTTCTGCAAATGAAACGACTAATAAGAAACTGTATTCATCTATCTTGTATTGAAGACTGTTTAATTTTGAATATTCAAATTTCCATTATCCTAAATCCTTTAGATAAATATGATATAATTACCTTATCTAATTCAACAATTTTTGCATCTGCTTCATTTAAATCGTGAGTTAAATTTTCAACTTAGGCTTAAAGGTCATTCGATTTATCTTCCAATTTTTTAGCCTTAAACTCATGTCTTTTAACCTCACTACTTAATAAGGCCATTTTATCTTCGTATTTATACTGATAAAATTATATTATATAAATACTTTAATGTCCTCAAGTTCCGCAATCTTACTCTCTAATTAAGTGATTTTTTATTTGAAACTATTCTATGATTTCATCCTTTGATTGTGATTCCTTTTCTAATTTCTTAATTTAGTTCTAAAGGTCCTCTTAATTGACAAGTAAACCTTCAATTTCAGCAACTTGTTATTTGAGTTGAGTGATTTCAGCAGATTTATTTTAATTGTCATCAATTTATTATTATAATTGGTTTTCAAGTGAACTCAATTAAGTTTTCAATTCATTAATATCTTCTAGTTGATTATGTAAATCATTTAATTCTTAATCCATTTTCATTAATTCTTAGTTTTATTGGTCTATTTCTCCTTACTTCTTTTAGTTGAGTACTTTTAATCTTTCAATTTCTGAAGAAAGCATAGCTAACTTATTTTCCATTTATTCCTTTACATGAAGTAACTATTGATATTGTTAATCCAATTATTCATGTTTTTATTTCCATAATTTTAATTCTTTTTCTAATTCAGCTATTCTGTCATTAAGACTTTCAATTTCTAATTTTAAGGCATCCATCTCAGCCAATTATGCTTATTGATCTTATATGATCTTTTTCAATTCATCAACATTTTCCATTTTTTCAAGTTTATACTTCATGCCTTCAATGTGTGTTGAGAGCATAGCACATTTACTTTAAAGATCGTATTTTTCTTATTCTGATTATTAAATCTTCTCCTCCAAACCTTTTCGACCTTATTTTTCATTCTATAGTTGTTCTTGCAATACTGAATTTGATTCGTGTAATTGTTGAATTTACACCTTCAAAGTATCAGAGGATAACAAATCTTTTTGTAATTATTGATTTTATTATTGATGATTTAAGACCTCTTAATTCTTTTATACAATTGTTTAATTCAACCTCTGATTTTCTTGTTTCAATAAAGTTAATCTATTTTATAAATCCAAAGTTGGGTCTTCTTCATTGGCTAAATTGGATTCAGATACCTTCTTATAACTTTATTACAATGAACTTAATTATTATTATAAATCTGAAATAACTTGTTCTGAATTTGCTTGCTTATGTACTATGTTTTAAGCTTTTTGCTCATCTAATTGTCTTCTTAATTCTGCAATATTGGTATCCTATTAAGTTGATTGTCCTCTTAGTTTTTCTAATTCAGCTTAATAGTTCTAATTCATTTATTATTGAGCATCATATTTACTCTATAATTAGTGTAATTATTCTTTTAGTAAATTCAGATCTGATAATTATTGCTCCGCTGCTTTCAATTGTTCAGTCTTTTAGTCATTTAGATATCTCAATCTTTGAGATTCAGCACTTAACATAGCGACCTTATTCTCTAAATCATATATTTTATTATTAGCATCCTAGAGTTTTTATTCAAGTTCTGTAATTGCCTATAATTTCTTCTCTAATTCATCGATTGTATTATTGGCTTATTCTAATTAACGAACTAAATCATCATTCTACTTTTATAATTCATCTATTTCATTCAATTATTCTTAGAGTCTTTTCAATTCTTCTTGTTCTTATAAAATTTTATCATTCTTCTATTTCAATTAAACTTTTAATCTTTCTATTTCTGCTGCCAACATACTTACTTTATTTTCTAATTGCATTTTCTCTTCTTCTAATAGCTTAAATTTGTCTAGATTTTTCAATAATTCAGCATTCTATTAATGCAACTATTCATTTTATCTATGTTGCTAATCTAATTCCTATTGCAATCTTTAATTTTCTTACTACAATAAGGATAATGATTTAATCTTTTGATTTTGTTCTTAAATAGTTAAATCTGCATTATTAAGATCAATATCTTTTTATTATGATTATTATTATAGCTATTAAAGTTCAGCACTTTTATCAGTTAGCAACTTCTTCAACCTATCTAATTCTCCAATCAAACCCTAATGTAATTTTAATTATCCCTTTGTGGCTTCCAACTCTATTTATAACTTTTATTTATCATCATTCAAATTATGAACTTAAACAGTGAGTTTGTTTTATTCTTGATTTAAGGTATCTATTCTTGCAACAGATTCCTTTTATGCAGATGAGAGTTGTTAATGTTGCATATCAAGATTCTATATTAGACATTAATACTTACATTGTATTTGATTTTCCATTAATCTAGTTGTTTAAGAGCATCAGTTAAGTCCTGTTAAATCTTCTTTTAACTATTCTACCATTCTTGTTTTTCTCTATCTAATTGAGCTTTTAGAAATTGTGTTTCTGATGGGTTGTATTCTGCTAATTTTTATTTTAATTCATCAATTTCCTTTTGTTTCTTTTAGTCGTTCTCAGTATATTTTAGTTTCCATTGTTCAATCATCCTTTCTTTACCTTCATTTTGATTATGCATATCTTATAATGCTTATTGAAATGCTTCCAATTCTTATAGTTATTCTTAGTATTCTCTACATTTTTGTGACAACTATTAATTAGAAATAATTGATACTTAGCTAATTGTATCCTCTCTTTCACCAACTAATTTTTTCAACCTTTCTACTTCTACTTATTAATTCAGTAACTTTTGATTTTCAATTACTAAATCATTCATTTCTGCCCTTTGTTTGTCCATATCCGCCTGAATTTTGGACATATCAATTTAGAACTTTTTCACATCTTCCTACGAACCCAGAATCCTTGATTGTAATTCATCTTTCTTAAATATTCAGATTATTATTACTATTTCATTTTCTATATCATATTTTGCTAATTAAGCTTCTAATGTAAAATATTTTTTTTTCCATAACTCTAATTCATCTTTGTATTCATCATCATTTTCTTTTTCTGCCCTATGTGAAAACTGGATTTTTCTCTTTGACTATCACAGTTGTTGGCAAATTCTGGGCTGCTGGAATCACATAAGAATGACCCATGTTGGATACCACTGGAATAACTAATATAAAATTAAAATACAATACTTCTGCTGGGTGATCTGACTGAAATAGCTTATGAAGATTATGGTCTAAAGGAAGCCATTCTTTAATAAATAAATAATTATTATTAATAATATAAAGATATTTTTATTAATTATATAAGACAAGTATCAAATTTTAGGTAGTTATTAACTTTTGTATTGTTTAAGAACTTCTCTCACATCTTCGCATCCATTTTCTACTAGTTTCTTTAAAAAAACACTCAATTCCAATAATTCCTTATCTTCTTGATCATTATACCATGTTTTAATAAAGATGCCATTTTCAGGCTAATGTTGAGAAATTATCAGCAATATTATCCACTATTATAACTTTCTTAAGACTACGACCTAATCTAGATAAGTCTTTAACAAAATGATTTTGATATTACATAGCATGTTATCTATAGAGACGATATTAAATATGTCTATTTTTGTCCACTTAATCTAGAATCCAATTAGCATAATCAGGCAATCCTGCTGTGAACACTGCAATTTCAAAGTAATTACTCATTTCCTATAAAAATTGCTCAGTGTAAGGCCTAATCAAGAAACTTTTGGTTTGATCAAAAAAGTGAATAAGGGTTTCATCCATATCCAAAATAAGAGTGAATTCATGACTTTCCTCTTTTGGTAAATATGGCTTATTTGCTACACATATCAAGGGAATCCCTAATAAACCATGATAGCTTTGCTGAATTGTAAAATACAGAGAAATGAAATTCTGTAATACTAAGTTGGATTCCAACATTCGGAGATGTGGTATTTATTTTAAGTAGGTGCTTAAGAATTGGTAAAGATCCTTTGACTGCTTTGTTAAGGATTTGTATAGGCTTGACAACAATTCTACATTCTATCTAATTTAAGTATTTGAATCAACTTTCTTACTCCCAAAATACTTTCTACTCTGATTGATGATATTTTAAAGTTCCTATTACTGTGTCTTTTGTAATATCATCTCTCCCAATAATAGATAGTTCTATAAATTATATATCAAACATATTCTTAAAATTGACTATG